ATCAACTTAATATTCTGCAGCGTAAGTGAGGTGACCACTTTGTTTTCAAAGTTCTATCACAGTACTCAAAATTATGCTTTTTATTACTGAATGACAATTAAAATAGGCTTTGGAAGAAACAGAGCATGTGTAGTTAGCAAATATTTCACTCAAATGTTTTAAGATTGATGAGCGAGGAATGCTGAAGCTGGGCGCAACGCGTCACAGAGGGACAAGGTTGTGAACATTTTCCGAATGAAGTGCTTTGGATACGTGGTGCATTTGTTTATACTATGGCGGGCGATGTGAGGAGGCTATGATAAAATCCAGATAAGTCGTTGGATTTTTGTCCTGAGTGGTTACTTGACTATCAGACTTTCAGGTTGTTTGGTGAGAGATAATCGTAATCACACGAATGGTGACCTTAGTTAATACTGTCTGAAACGAGTTTTATTAGCGTAATCGCATTCATTCCTTATTTTACATTTCGAAGAACTTATTTCATATTTTAGTTTTATAGTTTCATGCATCTCCTTGAACATTGTTCTTATATTTTGTTTTCAAACAAATATAATTTTATTTCTACTAAATTTTCCTCATTGTAATAATATGAAGTTTGGCAACTTGAATTAACGTACAATTCAACTAGTCCTACGTTACTAACCGTTGAATAATTAAATGTTTCCTATTTGAATTTTACACAACCATTTCGATAATATACTGTTTTATAATAGAGGCTTGCTTGTCATTATGTACCTTACAATGGTGAATCATTTTTGGAATTAATTTTATATTATGAAAGTTTGGTAATTACTTGGTATTTTTTTCAGTTGGATTTGTCTATATGTTTACCGAATTCCACATCAGAAAGAAAGTGCCGTTGAATTTTGAGAACGAACTTATCTTTCGGTCATTTTTAATGATCATGATGACACTAATTAAAGTTTCTTGGTGAAAATTGTTATATATATACAAATAGAGAAAGGGGGTTGATTCGGTTACATCTAAATCTTCGTATTTGTATAATAGAGTTTCTTTGGAAATGTATGCCACATTTGGGCTTTTCTATTTTGATTGAATGAATTAAAATCTACAAGGAGCTTTAATCCAACACTAGTACACCTTTATATCAAAGAAATACTTAACTTTTTATTTAAAATATTTGCCTGATGTTAATTTAAAGTGAACTAGATATTATGTACATTTTAATGAAAAATTGTGCCACCAAATGAATCCGATTACTAATGTCATGGCTATTCATTGCATAGAAACACTAGTCACACTGTGTTGTTCAATGCAAAGAGTAACTCATCATTAGTCATGTTTCAGAATCAGACTTACTATTAAACCCGGTCTTCGTGTCAACTGAATAAATTTTGAGTAATCAGTGCAAGGTAATAACTAATCAAGTATAATTGTCGTTATAATAAGAACGACCGTACGTTAGCCATCTCATTTAATGATGTAAATAATTTTTGAATTAACATTATAAGAGTTTATCGTGAAGTGAAATTTGTAACTAGAATTTTATCACAGAGATACACATTTCTCGATAAAAATCAGTAACACTTCAAAAGATCTAACGGAAACCATCTAAACGACAAATTTTAATCCCAACCATAAGTCACATCAACAGCCATCAATACTCATGGTATTCTGAAAAAGTAGTACCTTGTATAAAATCAACGTAAAGACTTTCTGTATAATATTTTAATGAATCTCATTTATTCTAATGTAAATGATTTGCTAAAACGACTGATAATATATAAATAAAGATATGTAGATAATATAGATTTTGAGAGTTGTAATTCTAACTTCTAAAACAGATCAATAATCAGTGTGATGTAATTTCATATTTTCAGTGATTATTTGGCTTGTACTACCTGATCATTGTAAAATATACTGTAGCTATATAGAAAACTCTCAGCTAACAGCAAATGAGTTTTAGTGTTTTTTTTATCTGCCATATGCAATGAAAACCAAATAATTGATTTATATACATACAATACTCATCTATTTACAGTGTTACTTAGGCCATAGTCTAGTTGAAGGACACTTGCAAATATCAGCATGTATATGGTCTATCATAAGCTGATTCAGTTGAAATACTATATGTTTTCAATTTGTGTCTTTTATAATTGCACATGCCTACTCACATTTATATTGGCAAACACTAATGAACAATTTGTTTTACTATATATATATTGTTGAGTTTAAGACAACATAACAACATTAATTAAAATCTGAGAATGAAAACCATAAATCCTAAATGTTCCTGCTAGTACTTAGTTGATGCTAACGTAAGCTATCTAAAAACAATCACATATATCCTCGAAATATCTTTGAAATGTCTTTCTTTGCTATGGCAAAGTTTTGTTTCTATGTATTTTAAATTCGTCATATTTAGTCAAATCTTTTGTGTGCCTGTCGAAAAAATTATATTTATGTTTCAAAGTTAACTAACAGAAAAAAATAAAATTCCAAGAATTTCTCTTTAGAACTATATATTTGACTCTATGTATTGGTTGTGATATCTAAGTATAGATTACAATATATATTCGGGTATATTGACACAATTAAGCAGTATACCTAAATTAGTAGTTTATTTCCAAAACACGAATATGTCATAAGAATCCTGGTAACTGAATATAAGCACACTTAATACAGTTTCATTTTAATCTGACCAATATTTCCATTATGATTACGCGAACGGTGAAATAATGCTAATTAATTTATATGTATTCCAGACTCATAAGAAGTTCTACAGCGAAGACATTAAAAAATTCTGGCTAACTACCATGAATTTTTTCAGGGAAACCTTTTTATAAAGATACCTAGAATGATCTATTCACAAAAATAGCTTTTACACGTTTATTTATTTCTTTTTGTAAAACTAAACATTTTGAAATATCTTCATAACGTCGGATTATATGTATAAACCTTTGATCAGTATGACTTTCACTTTACGGCTGTCACTGTTCATACAACTGCCTTTCTTAGTTAATTGAAACACAAATGTGCTGTTTACAATTTTTATAAAAATCCTATAAGTATTAGGAGTATGTTATGAAAAGTTAAATTCATTTTGAAATGAGGAATTGTTATTCCATCCGGTTGCATCTGTGAAATTTATAAAGTGTTATCAATTATCTATATCCTGTTCACTAGTGAGATTGAACTGGATTGATACTGATACGCTTCTGTAGATCTTGGTACAGTGGAACATCTGGATCATATTGTTCTGATTATATAACACTTCTGATTGACTTGAGTTGATTTTATTGTCATCTAGCGGTAACCACTTACCAGTAAGTTTGTTATCCATAGCACAATAACTAAACTATACTGAACTGGACATGACTGAAGATAAGACTTTCTGAACCATCACTGTATTAGGTTGTATATCGTCAGGACAGTAATACAGTACTCTTAATAAATCTCAGATCTTTATTTGGGATTCGTCAACCGAATTTGCCTGCTTGCTAGAGTTCATGTTCACTCCGAGACTCGAACCCACTTTAGTCCACTTCACACGTCATCTGTTTATCCAAATAACTACTGAGTCCAGATAGTCACTGGCTTATGTAATGAGATGAAGTCCTCAAAACCACTGTGAAGTTACAAATAGCCAACACAAATGAATTGAACTTCACACCAATGTACATTGCAGTGGGTATCTGGGTTAGTTATGTGAAAATCGCGACGACTTTTAAAGCGAGCGATAATGGGTTCAAGTCCCGGAGTGAACATGAACTCGGATGTAGGTCTATCCAGTTAACCAGTTCCAAACAGGACGAAACGCCCATACTGGATCCCACTGTTAGTCACTGTCGATCTCTACTTACAATGCTTGTGACTTTAGACAATATTGAATCAATACGCACAGGATGTATATTTGCCGAAACAGACTGAACAACTGCAGTCAATGAGAAGATTCAAAGAATCAATACAAACGAATTATACTACTTTCTACATCTGATATCGTCATTTAATGAAAAAAATCCGAATACACGAACTTCATAAGTAGTCCATTTTCAATATACAAATAACTACATATTTGTTAACATACCCATTATATCTGTAAAATATGGTGTTGTCATGAGCATTCCTCAAAAGTGAGCACCTAGTTTTTCGTGGCTAATATCTTGTTATAATATTGACAAAATTTCTCCTAAAACCACACAGTTCGGACTAAAGTGTATTATTTTTATTAAATCATTTAAAATCAAATTTATTCAATAGGAATTCAGATTATTTCTCAATTCAGAAATTCATACTTCAATGACATAGAAATTATTTGCCTATTACATATAAAATGCTCCATGTAAACTAGTATTGAGATTAGAAGCAAATATGGATAGTGGCTAGCAGTGGAATTCAGGACGAGCGTTTCATCCTATTTGGGACTCGTCAGCTGGACGTACCTGCATCTCAGAGTTGGTGCTCACTCTGGAACTCGAACCCGGTAACGTTCGCTTCAACGCGATCAACTTATCCACTTAGTTACTGAGTGCTGATAGTCACTTGCTTGTGCAATAGGGTGAAGTTTAAGTTCACTTGGTAATGTTTACTTGAATCTTTCCATTAATATTTAGGACTGCAATTGATCAATCTCTTATTAACATATGTACACACTGTGCGTATTGCCTCGATATTGCCTTCATTCACAAGCATTATAAGCAAAGATGGATAGTGAACAAACGCACATCGTGGATTCCACTTCTAGCTAATGAGAAGATCCCAAGTAAATAATACCAAGTGAATTTCATATTAAGATTGTTATTAAAAAGAATTAAATCAATTTCCAACAACTCATTTCATAAAACTTGTTTAAAATTTAATGTAAACAAGTATAATTATTTATTCTGTTATAATTATGATGATATAATAATTAATGAAAAGATGTAATTGTATTGTTTATATTTATTAAGTAAATTCTTTTCTTCATAATTAATTATTTGTTTACTCATCTGTTTATGTGGTCAATTAAATCTTAAATTTTTATCTATTTTATCTTGTAGAATTGGCTGAAACTTGATAAACGTATAGCTAAACAATTAGAAAGTGAGTGGTTAAATAAATAAATAATAATAATAATGGTAATAATGATGCTTTTGCTTTCATTTAGCTTTTAAATATACATATAATGGAAAAATATAGATAAACTGAATACAGTATTTTACTATCTTTTAGGCTAAATGATTATCATTTAGTTTAAAAGGATAGAAATGTCTGATTTTATCATTTTAAGACATAATGAAATCAAAGGTATGATGATAGTTTATTATGTCAAGTCTATCAACATATTTCTGTTATAAGGAAAGTTAACTTTATAAAGACAATAATTAGTTCCTACTATTTACAATTAAATAATTAAGATTAATTTAAATTAAATTAAACAAATGCTTTACATTTGCAAATTAAAATAGATGATACAAGGATCATTTTTTCTTAAATACTCTTTGACTTTTTACAAATATAGTCAAATGGAGTTTTAATATCAGAAGGGGGGTTTCGCGGAGATCTTAGTACCTTTACAGTTGAATTAATGAGTCAGTTGAAGCTGGATCACTATGGGAAATCTGGAATCACTGAACGGTCGTTTCGTTTTAGTATGAGACTCCTTAGCAGTGAGAATATAAATGGCTGATCTTTTAGTGAATGGATATCAACTGATAGGAAACAATTTTCGAATTTAATAAAATTTCGCAAACCATTTAAATTACGATCGTGTTCTAATTATTGATCAATTGAAAAATAAACGTTTTACTAGAAATTTTGTTATCTATGATGTCAGTAAAGTTAGGAGTAAGGTAAAAAAATTAGTTTGTATTATTTAACAAGGACTGTTCTAGATTCAGGTTTGGGTAAAATTGACCAATTTAGACCAGTGGATTTTGATTAATTCATTTAAATTGTACATTGTATCGTGATGCTTGTGAGACTTAAGGGTCTGGATGTCTATCTCGTGTTGAATCATAGTCGATAAGTGATGAAACACACCAAAATGTAACTAAACATCTGCTTAATGATGGTATATTTCAAAAGGTTCCTCAGTCGATTTCAATTGATAATGAAAACCATATAATGATATCAGCAAAGGGTGATTTCTGTGCTATATTGAAGAGGTGAAAAGTCAGGAGACGTTAAGATTCATCTGTCAATTGATTGTGTCAATAATTAGCTGTGGTGATCAGCAATGAAAATGTTCTAGATCAATACTCGAAAACAATAACTAATCATAAACATATCATTCGAATAGTAAGTCCTTTTCTATACATAAGTCTGTAACAAGATAAGTTTAAAATGAATAGTGACGCGATAATTATATGTCACAGTGTTCTAAATGAATATATTATCACCGCGTCAAACTATAGGACAGTAAATAAGCGACATAATATGAACATGAACTTCATGACAGAAAAGGGGTATTCATGGGTCAAATTAAAATTTCAATTTCTCTAAGATGTATAAATCCTAAGTATACACATTCCGCGTTATTCGTCTTAATGAGCTTCTGTAACCATTATCATAATTATTTGCTTAATCAATATTTTTTTGTTGAACTTACATATAACTTATATATGACCGAAACATTTAGTTTTGTTCGACTAGCAAATAACTAATAAAATGTCATATTAGCTGTCATTCAAATAGATTTATCAAACACAAACCTTAGTATGTAGTTAATGACTGATAATCCTGAATATTCATGAATTGAATGTAGTCCAGTGTCATCTTTGTTTATTTATATTAGTATGAACAAAGTTGACACTGGAGGGGGTCCGCGTGACTATCGTAACCAATGGTTGGAGACTCTGGTTGACATGGCTCAGAATCGACCACAATGGCGTCGGTGTATGCACACTTTGTCTTCCCTTGAACTATAAGAATAAAATTGCTTCATATCTTTCTTTCTACGAACTAATTCTTTCTTCCTGTACTATGTTCTTATATGCAATCTTTCTTTTATATATTACCACCTCTGAATTAACTACTTCTATGAATCTGGTGTTCATTTGTTGTGCTAATGCGGTGTGTCGACCTGGACGTATGTGTATATGTGCCTTGTCCTACGTTGTAGCTGACAGACTGATTTAGAATAGTAAATATTTTATGCACTACATTTATGAAATTCTATTAGTTCCAAGAGTTAGACTGTGTTTTATTTACTAAATGTTACAGCCCAGTTAACTCACTGGTAACGCTAATAACTATACGGCCATATGAAACATTATGCCATTCGCTTATTTTGTAGATACAGCCATCAAACTAAATTCACAGCAACCTGATGATTTTGTTTTGCCATAAAATATCAATAAAGTTTGTCTAATAACTCAAACTAACATTCACTCTCGCATGTTAACTAAATTTCTCTGTCAAGTTAATTAAATAATACTTTTTCGTTCGCTACATATTTGCATTGATCAGTCTTACTTGTTTTCTCAGTCATTATTAATAAAGAAATACAAAACGAATAAATATTTTGATTTCTTTGTTTAAATAGCTTGTAATTTAAAATATTGTGTGATTTCAATTACCGTTTCTAACTCACAATGAACAAATTCATAGTTTTATAATCCAAAACTACTTTCACAATAGTGATGATCAATCGTTACGATTATGTTATGTATAAAGATTATCATTTATTGATAAAATGAGGTAACTTAGACTTTAAAGTTGAACCATTATAGTTAGGGAAGAATTGACATAATATTCACTTTGTTTCTAGAATTAGTGTTATATAAAATTCAAGCTTTAGTTTTATTATCACCTATCATGGTTTTTGAGACTATCATTTATATTTAGTAAGTGTTTAATAAAATAAGAACAAAAAGATTTGATAAGCACATAGCGTTTTTGCATATTCTTATCATGATTCTCTTCATTGGATAGAGTTCCTAAATCTACACCTGATCCCACTCTTTCATTCGTGTTTGAGGTCTACAAAATTCCTAGAAGCTCTCCCGGAAGAGTTTGATAATTACATAATTATAATGAATTAGGATGAAGTAAACCCATTTACTTACGCCTGTTACTCCCAATGGAGCATAGGTCGCCGACCAGCATTCTCCAACCCACTACGTCCTGGGCGTACTCTTTTAGTTCCATCCAGCTCTTGTTCATTTTCCTCATGTCTATTTCCATTTCTCGGCGTAATGTGTTCTTTGGTCTTCCTCTCCTCCTTTCACATTGAGGATCCCATATGAGGCCTTGTCTTGTAACACAGTTCAGTGATTTACTCAATGTGTGTCCTATCCACTTCCAGTGCATCTTCCTGATTTCTTCCTCTGCTGAGATCTGGTTTATTCTCTCCCACAGTCGGTTGTTGCTAATAGTGTCTGTTCAACGGATGAGAAGTATTTTGCGTAAACAACTGTTAACAAACACTTGTATCTTGTGGATGATGGTATTGGTGGTTCTCGAGGTTTCGGTTCGATACAGTAGAACTGTTTTGACATTTGTATTGAAAATCCTGACAGTTGTTTTGAGTTCCATATGTTCTTCAGTTGTAAATATGCTGTTTTTGGTTTTTCGATCAGCACCTTCACATCTGTATGAGATCCACCGTGTTCATCAATCATGCTGCCTAAATATGTAAAGGTTTTTAGATCTTTCAAATCTTCTCCGTCAATTGTGATCCGATTGTTGCATGCTATGTTGTACCAGAGAATCTTTGTGTATGTTGAGACCTACTGCTGCTGAGGCTGCCGCTACACTGTTCGTCTTCCCCTGCATTTTTCGTTGAGTGTGCGATAGAAGAGCCAGATCGTCTGAGAAGTCTAGATCGTCCAGCTGCATCCTAGCTGTCCACTGTATCCCGTGCTTCTCCCCAGATGTTGACGTTTTCATGATTCAGTCGATCACCAGGAGAAAGAGAAAGGGTGAGAGTAAGGAACCTTGTTTGACACCGGTCTTTACTTCGAACGAGTCTATCAGCTGTCCTCCATGCACGATTTCGCAGTTCAATCCATCATAGGAATTCGTATGATATTGACTGTCAAAGAAGCTTCCATAGTGTTGTCCTGTCCACGCTATCAAATGCTTTTTCGTAGCCAATGAAGTTGATGTAGAGTGATGAATTCCATTCAATTGATTGTTCCACAATGATCCGTAGTGTTGCGATTTGGTCTGTACACGATCTATCCTTACGGAATCCTGCCTGTTGGTCTCGAAGTTGGGCGTCTATAGAGTTCTTAATCTTGTTTAACAACACCGTGTTGAAGACTTTTCCTGGTATTGAGAGAAGAGTGATGCCCCTGTAGTTATTACAGTTACTGAGATCACCTTTCTTTGATATTTTGACCAGATGTCCTTCTTTCCAGTCTGTTGGTACTTGTTCTTCATCCCAAATCTTGCTGAAGTAAACCCATAACAACACAAAATTGCTTAAAGTTGAAATTCTCCATTAAAATCTCAATAAAGAAACTAATAATGCTTTAGTGTACTGAAAATTCAATACAATTTATATAGTTTTTTTTTAAAAGCATCTTAAATAGCTCAAGCGAAAATGTAAACTTCACTGTATTACATAGAAATGAAAGTATCATAGACTTTCATTCTATTTTCTTTTTACGTATTAGATATTGTTTGATGTAGGAAAATGTTCAATTAATATGTAAATCTGTAAATTTGTACTTGTTATTATATCATCTTATTAAAAGTAAGTGAAAATTTTTCTAACACAATTGTATGAACGAAGAATATTCTTTTCAATAATTTCTCATCAGGTTCTACAATTATAAATCCAGATTAATAATCTATAAAATTGGCCAGATTTATTTTACATATTACTCAATTTCCGATTTGTAATCACAATATCCTCTCTCTCTCATACCCCATGTTGACCATATTTATTCTGATCATTTATCTCACAATTTCATTTCATTTATAAACTGATTCAAGTTAACACTTCATATTAGTCAGCCCCAACATTAACGATTTTATTTTATATAACAAACAATTTCTGATTCACATATTACAGTTGCCAAATGATGATATATTTTGCCTTAAATCTGGCCAATTTTATGGATTATTAATCTGGAGTTATAATTGTAGAACCTGATGAGAAATTATTGAAAAGAATATTCTTCGTTCATACAATTATGTTTTTAATATAATGAAAATTTTTCTATTAAATATTTATCTAACTAGTCATATTTTGTTTAACTCATTCCTTAAATAGTAATATATTAATTTTTTTTATTTTATATTAATTTACATATAAAGAAATACCATGGAAACTAGAATTTCGTGTTCGATTCTATCCACCAAATATTGATATATTCAAAGATGATTTAACGCGTTATTTTTTATGTTTACAATTAAGGCAAGATATTATCTCTGGACAGTGAGTAAATGATTTTCTAAAATTGTTGAATTCTTTTCTTTTTTTATGATATAATACAGTTTCCATATTTTAAACAAATTTATATTCTTTTCTTTACAAAGTTCAACTAATTTTCTTGGGCAATATATAAGGGAAATCTTAAAGATGTGAGATATTTAAAAAAATACTACCAGGTGTATAATCTATATTCCACAATGTTGACTAGATATTCACTAATGAATCCTAACTTGGAAGGAATATTAGACGGATATCATATTTTTTTCAAGTGATTACCAGATCAACTCTGTCTTCTCATTGTTCTGTCAAGATTACCAATAAACAAATCATGGATATGTGATATTAAAGTTTGAATAGTTGGTGTGCTACTTACTCACCGAAACAATATGATACACTTGAATTGCAATAAATATGTTTTTATTCTAGATAATTTCAGAACATCTAAGGAGCATGTTGTTTGATTAGAAACTAATATCGTTTTGGATATGATGAGGCAGATCTATTAGAGTGATGAAACTATAGTTACTATATCTAAACTCATACAGTCCGAAACCATTGGAATAACACTGAAAAGTACTTTGAAGTTCTATTAAGAGGCTGTGATCAGTGGAATTCAACCATGTCAGTCTGATAAAGGATCATAATTACATAAAATTGTGAGGTGACTTAAGCTGACAATCATTTTATGAATAATTATCAGTCCAGCATGGTAAATATAATACATTAGCCATGAGATGTAACTGCTCTGAATCTTAATCCTGAAAGTAGTGGATGCACATTGCTAAGAAGTGCATGATTACGATGAAGATACCGTCCAGTGTTTTATGATTTTCAGTTGTTGTCTAGTTAAATCTAATCAGTCGTGCAAACATTTAAATTAAATTTCAGTAGGCTAAGAATGTGAATAACCGATTTGTATGTAACATAAAGAAAAATTGTGCTTAAATCTACCTGTACATTATGTTTGTGAAACTAAACACCTTTGAAATTTTAATTTTGTAGATTTTAAGTGTAGTTATGTTGATTATTTCAATGACTTTAATCTATGATATATTTAATAATTGAAATGTTGGGATTCTTTCTAGCTACAGATAAAATATTGTCGAATGTCAGGGAAAGTGTGGAGTAGTGTGTTCATTTATGTATTTTTTTGCAGTTCAAGTAGCAGTAGGGCAGTAAATACAACTTACGGATATGTCTTTAAATATTTTCCCATTATTTTTATTTAGCTAAGATTCAAACTTTGATCCAATTATAATAATCATGTACCATCGTAAAGATAACAGGGCACTGAGGCCTAATGTATACGAACAATATTATCTATTTATGATTCATATGCTTACAAATGTCCGAGTAATTGATTACTTCATTACTAACTATTAAATTGTTAATTTAAATAGGATCTGCTGTGAAGGAGAAGTTGATTATAGCCTTGAAAATTAAAATTTAAATATGTATAACATACTAGTTTAATGAAAACTTTTATTGACCATTTCAAATAAAAGTTTATTACATAAATATTAAACTTTGAGATGGTGGAGAAAATTTGCAGCTGAGGTGGATGATTTTGGTGGAGTTTCGTTCTCTGAGCTGGATGGTTTGGTCGTGGAGCTTTCAACAAGCATATTGAAATCAATCCAATTTATCAACCAATCAGAAAAATCATGCACAAACATAAGAACAAAAATCAAAACAATTGGAGAAACAACCAAAAAAAGAAGTAAACAATGACAAATTTAAGGTCAATAAGAACCAATCAACATCGAGGTGCACAGAACAAGCTTTGAAATACATATGGAGAAAACCAAACACTTCGCTTCTATCTGAAGTTTGTGCTGATGATTTCGTTTAGAAGAACGATGAGAGCACCACGAGCAAACCATCCAGCTCAGAGAACAAAACTTCATAAATATTAAACTCATTGCATATTATAAATTGAGATTGTATAAAATGTCACTATAGTACAGGTTACTAAAAAAAGAAGGAGAACAATTTTAGAATATATAAGTTATGAATATTTTCCCAACAGAGTTTAGTGTTTCTATTATTCAACTAATCAAAATGCAAATCAATAACCAAATTGTATTTGATTATTTATTATTTTGTAAAGAAACTATCTATAAAACAAGTGATGTTTTAAGCATGGCTAATTAATCAGTTAATATCCACTGAATCACTAAAAATAATAATGAAGGACTAGGCCCCCAAATGTCCTGGTACGGCCGAGAATGGGAAGAGTCCGCTCTCCCTCTCGAAATGCTCTCACATGGCCACGCGTATACAGCCTCTACCAGGGAAAGTTCTACTCACTGCCTTCTCGTGGCGGGGGTGTTGTTTACGGAAACGAGAGGACGAAAAGCGAATGTCCGGCGCTTTAACCTGGTTCCAAACCAATGGTGCACATGGGCCCCAGTATCTTGAGGGGACAAATTGAGTATGAACCAGTCGTTGGTCACCGGCTACCATGGGACTGCATCTCCTCACGATGCTCCACTGCCTTGTGGATTAGACCTTCAGGTCGAAGGCTCGGGGAGTGGCCTCCCAAGAAAACCACCTTCTTCGGTTTGGGCACCCGGGCAGTATCACAGCTTTCACACATGTCGAATGAGATTTGTGTGGCGCATATGTATTTGGTGCCTCACTGTAACAATATTTATGTGTTAAAATAAAAAAATAAGTTGTATATTATGAAGTTATTGTTTTTTACACTAATTTACAATATGAAAGTTATGAGGAGTAGTTTTTTTGTTTGTTTTTCCAAAAAATATTGTCACAAACTAAATTATTTGGATTTATTGTATTTAATAGGATTCCATGTTCACATCATACTTATGTTGTTCTTGGTGCATATGTTGTTCAATCAGATGCTGGAGATTATGATCCAAATACACATATAGGAACAGAATATATTGCCAATATTCCATTTGCACCACAACAATTACAAACTACAAAAATGCTTCAACAAATTGTTGAATTACATAAACTTCATAAGTGAGTAAGCATGTTTTATGTTCTTAAATTTTTTAATTATATAGAAGACGATTATTTGGTGATATGTTTTATATTTTTCTAATATTAAGGAAGTTTGATGTAGGATGTACATGGGGTTTAGAAGAAAAAATAAATAGAATTACCAACTTGTAGATAAAGTAACAAGCAGTCCATTTTATGTTTCACTGCTTGTGTAAATTAGTAGTGAGAAGTTAGAAAAATTTTAGACAGAAATGTTCAATATGAGTAAAGACATATTAATTCTGGGTATTTTTTTTTGTTATGGACTCAACTGTCACTAGACAAACATTTAAACTCTAATGTGTAAAATGTATAAATATGTACTTCGAAAGTATCCCGATCTCAGCAGTTTAAAAATCCCCATAGTATATTCAGAAATGAAGAATATTTGAGTAAATAATTGTTTTCAATAACTTCATCATCAGGTACTATAGTTATAAGTCCATAATGATGATATTTTACAAAGGCCAAAATAAGGCATATACTAATGAATTTCACAATGTTATGTGTTAAAAATGGTGAGCGTTTGCATCTGTTACGATATATATATATATAATATATATATATATATATATATACTCCAAAATAGTGTTATTTGCAAATTAGAAAGGTCATTTAAAAAAAGTCACAATCAGTAGAATAGTAATATAGGAAAACTGAAAATGTGAAAAAAGAAATTGTGACTCAGTCAGTAAAAAATCCCTATATCTGAGACTGGACTTTAAAAGGGGACATAGCGGGTAGTATTTTAACACGTCAACTCAAAAGATCTATTGAAAGGACGCTTCACGCCGCCAAACTACATATTACTTTCTCAACTAAACCAGTAGTCACACAACAAATCAACGATAGGTCACCGATGACGAGCTCCTCTCTGTATGTATACCAATTCAATTGCTCCTGTGAAAGTAGTTACATTGGCCGTGCTCAGATGGCTTTATTCTTGCATGTTCGTGAACAAGCATCAGCATGGTTTGGAAAATGAGTCATTAAATCGACCAACAGCGCTATCTTTCTCACTTGGTAGATAGAAAGCATCCTATTAAAATAGATGAAGCTTTCTTTGTTTTATATCAATTTCCAAAATATCTACCTCAAGGAGCTAGATTACGATTACACTACATAGACGAAGCCATCTAAATCAACTCCAGGAAACCAAACTAATCTATCCAGAAAAGGTATATCCAGTTTCTATGTTTACCTTGGCCTACGACTGGACCACCGGATACCTAAACTGAATATTATAAACCTCTTACCTCCTTCCACTTTTTTGATTACATCTATCTTAATCTCCACATTCATCACTCCGAATTCACATGATTTCCTTTTTTGTTCATCGTAATTATCTTGATAACACCCCTCTTACTCCATATTATATTCAAAGAACAATATTATTATTATTACTGTTGCTGTTATCATTATTATCTCAATTGGCAAGATGAAATTCCCCTACTATGCATTTTATTCACACAATTTTTTTTGCATTTTCAATTTCGCTATATTACTATTCTACTGATTGTGACTGAACACTTTACTCCAAATCATTCTGACCTTAATTAAATGATCTTTCTAATTTGCAAATAACACTATTTTGAAGTATATATATATCGTAACAAATGCAAACGTTCACCATTTTCAACACAGAACATTGTCAAATTCATTGATACATGGCTTATTTTTGGCCTTTGTAAAATATCATCATTATGAACTTATAACTGTAGAACCTGATGACGAAGTTATTGAAAACAATTATTCACTTAAATATTCTTCATTTTTGAGTATCCCGGTCTGTTAATACTTTTTTCTTCAAAAGTCTAATAGAGATGAAGTCTTTATCTTTAGGAAGCAGATATTGATTTACATAAAACCTTTTATTTTTTTTCTTCATTCCACTTTATTAAAAATTTATTCATCCCACAAATAGAGCAATACAATTCATTTACAATAATTGATAAATAAACAACTCACCATATCATAAATGAAGCATTATTACCTAAAATTAAGACAGACAAATAGAAAACAACTGAAAATGTCAACAACAACAACAAAAAGTTGCCAGAAATCTTAAGGGCGTATTAATTTGAGAAAATTTTTAACTAGGAAACAAAGTTATACCTTATTTTGCTTGAATTTAAAAACATAATTGATGAAGGATCTTTTCTGAATTACTAATTAAATAGATGTTGGAATCTGTAATGAACATTAGATTCATTGATGTGGTTAATTCATAAACTAATTGTTATGATGTTCTAGTTTATGGTTAAATATTAGTAAAGCTTGATAATTAGCAGGTTAAATAAACTTACTAATCAAACATACTAGACATTGCTAACGTCCTTAACTAGTAGTCGAAGTGATTGGTTTTTGTTTCATTGGATTAAAAAAAACAACTAATTATTGAAAGTCATATTGAAACTTAAAAGACTATATTAGACGGAATTTGTGGTGACAAATAATATGATAAAATCATTTGTAGATCAAGAAAAGGATACAAATATCAGCTTTGTTGTTATTGAATAGTTGTGGAATAGGAGATGATTAATCTACTTATACCATCGTTTGGATAACAACTAATTGCTTAATTTGATTTATTCTCCATCATGTATAAGTAATTAGGTTTTTGAAGATGTAATTAACCAGAAGTCAACTGGAGAAAATGATTTATTTTTAAACGAAATATTCAAAAATATTATTACGATTTAAAATTATGAATATCTATGTGATGCTGTCTCTAATAGCTTTGTACATCTTTCTGTGTGTAATTCATACCCAAGATGAACGAATTATGTTAACAATTCTTAAACATAGTATAGTGAACGAGAACATAAGTGAGGACAGTCGAATGTATTTGAATACAAAATTATAGAATCTCTCAGTAAAATCTGAGAACCATACAGTAAATGATTCATTTGTAAAATGTCAATCAGTCATCTTAGACTTCATTATTCCACACCAATTTCCACCAATTTCCACACCAATCATTCTCTGTTCTCGTTCTGGTTTCTTCGATCACTTTCAATTGATGATACACACTAGTTATATCTGTCAACATCGGTAGCATATATCACTATAGTAGTGATAAACATTAACATATATGATTTTTTGAGTCGAATTATTTAACTATTATTATTTAACTCATAATAGGTATTTACATAAATAATTTGTTTAGCACAATTTATTAAACCCAACGACAACAAAATTAGAGAATGAATTTATTTATTTCAATATATTTTTATGAGTTATAGAGGACAAAGTTTAGTTCAGGCTGATCGAGGATTTTTGGAAAATGCCAGACGACTTTCACTTTATGGGGTTGAGTTTCACAGGGCAAAAGTAAGTCTACCATTTTACTCCTATCATTATTGTTACTACCATGAAGGTAAGAACATTATTCATTATGTTTGTACTACATTGTCATACAGTTAGTATTTAGATTTGCTAAGTGTACTTGTCCACTTTCTTGGTTACTTATCATGATTTGAGAAGTTGGAGGTATTTTTCTTTTTCCAAACAGCTCAAGAAATTCTAACACCCCATACACTTATATCTAACTCTTATGTTAAGGCTTATCATATGTAACTTCATCTTATAGAAATTTAGTTTATTTCACTATGATCGCCTAGTAATATTTGTCATCGTTTCACTTTCATGGACTCGACTACTTATCTCCAAGCAAATATGCTGGTAACGGGTAATAGTGAAAGCCACATGAATAAGTCTTCATAGCATTAGTCTTCAGTGTCTCAAGTGACGATATGAATTAGCAAATACCGATTATTAGATCTAATTCTGTTGACCACTTGATTTTTCACCCAGTAAATAATGAAAATATTACATATTTTGTAGCTTCACAGTGTTCACTCATCGATAAACAATTCTCATGTATTTTCCTTATCAATGATCATGCTAAGCAACACAATATATTGCTATTGAAGTATGCAATCAGTTAATGAAACTGAATATCTGATGAAATTCCTTTAAATAAGCAGTTGTAACTAGCAGTCTTGATTTTGCATTTGTTAAAAAAATTATTGTAACAATATGAAAATAACTGAACTATTCTTCCAAATTTTAATTTTAAAGTTGTAAATTTCCATGTAAAATGCACTTTGACTACTACAGTCTACGGTAGAGATTGGTTTTATTAGTTACTACGATACCAAATTTTAAGTCATTGTAACTTCTTGATCATAAACATATTTCTGTTTATCTATTAATAACCAGTTTACTAATTACTCAGACTGCCAATTTACTATTGATGAAAGAAATTGCAGTTAAATAGTCTTGTTGTATTACTTATTTGTCAAAAAATAGAATTTAATGAGTACAAGGTTAGTATTATCTCTATCTAATCCCTTCTCGTATTGTTGTTGTCATTAAACATTGTTGTCATGGCAACTGAAGTGACAGGAGAATAATTTCATTAAGAAATTTAGGGTTTAACCATAGTAAAAAGTTATGTCACTTGGTACGTTCTATTTAAAACTAAGCACAAAATATATTCTTTTTTTTTAATTTCGATAGAAAACTCATGATGATAGAAGTTATATTAGCGATTTTTAATATTCTTCACCTATTTTACAGACGATTGCGGGCGAAAGTATATGTTTAGGTGTATATCACGGTGGAATATTACTTTATCATGGGATGTTAAGGGTTAATCGGTTTTTGTGGCCTCAAATTGTAAAAATATTGTACAAGTCAAAAAATTTCATTATTGTCGTTAGATCAATGCATAGTGAAACTTTGAGTAAACGTGGAACTCTAAGAAGAACATTATCACCTGGTGGTTTGAAAGTATCTGATAAAAAGTTCAATGGTTCTGAGTCCATTCATGATGTAACACTGACTTTTCAGTGTACAGATCCCCGTTTGGCCAAAAGATTATGGGATTCTTGTACTTCGCAACATGCATTTTTCCGGTATGTAAAATTTAAATGTTGTCTTATGAGGATGTTTCTTACTCATACTCATTATACATTTATATATACATTATTATGTTAATAATCACTTTAATCAGAATTAGTAAAACGGTTTTAAGGCCCTTGCTTAGGAGAAAACACATTATGCAACAAATAAACACCGAAACCAGCCATGATTTAGGTAAATGGATTGAAAAATGCTTAGTTATTACATCATCTTAAGAGATAAATTACTTTATTCAACAATATCAAGTAAACTTAAGGGCGTAGGCGAGACAATAAGATAATTTTTATAAAAGAATTATTGATCAAATGTAATTAGCCGTAAATTACAGTTTCTCAACCAATCATCTTTAGTAGATTAATTTACAACACATTTTTATTATCCTTTTTATGTTTTTCTCAAATAACCAATTCACAATAGTTATTCAACTGAGATTGTTATTTTGAGTACTAGATAGGCTTTCTTATTAAAAGACTAAATAAAATATTCACTATTTATAATCACAATTTAATGAAACTAAACTTAACAGTTCGTCAGTATTTAATCGAACGGATAATTGTTATCAGTATAGGGTTGTGGAGATTGTTGAGTTTTAATTGAGATTATGAACCAATCAATGTTAGACCACTTTAGTGGCTCGATATCTGACACCAGTTAGATCGTATGTTGATTTTTATTGAAATATAAATGTTACCAATCCTCGTATATAATCATCGACTTAACCCGCGTTAGTGTATAACGTAATTAGATAAGTTAAATACGAGAATGGATTTTTGGTCGGAAAGAGAAGTAAAACAAAACGGTGCGCAATGGAGAAGGCGAGTGAGCCAACCTTATTTAACCAAGCGTTAATCGATATTTATAGTCAGATAAAAATAAGTTACAGACGTGTGATGAATAGGATAAGAAGTGCACACACATACGCTCATATAAAAACAGTCAAGGTTGATAATCGAGCAATTAACAAGGTCAAAATGTGACTCAAGAAGGATGAATAAATTGGCTTACCTGGAAGCTAGAATACGTTATGTGGGCTTAACATAGTAGCTGACACTGCACAACCATCGGAAACTTGGAAGCATTGGACGACCGTTTCGTCTCAGATGGGACTCCTCAGCAGTGCGCATCCGCGATCCTCACGCGGGGCTTGAACCCCTGGATGCCGTCGCAGTGGTCGGGAGGTTAAGCATCCGCACGCGAGATCGGAGGTCATGGTTCGAGTCACTCATGGGGTATTGTGAATATGCATTAGTGATAAATCCTATACTAGGACGAAACGACCGTCCAATGCTTTCAAGTTTCCAATGGTGATCTAACATTGATTGGTTCATAATCTCAAATAAAGATAATTGTTAACTCTAGTAGTCGCAAGTTAGTCGGAAATATACATTTTTTTGTAATTTGAAAATGAGTAAAATAAAATAGAAACTTTGACAAACTGCATAAGCGATTAAGTCCATGGTAAGTGTTTCACAGTGAATTCAACAGCAACACTAAAGTGCAGGATTCATGTACTGCCAGAATTATTGTGGTCTGGTTAATTTGATCTGTTATATATCCCATCATGTTAGTTGAAATAAAAATTTTTGTATTTTTATTAGCTATTGAATATTTCCATTCAATGGGCAAGTCTTGACATACAATTTGAAAAAATTAAATGGTAGATATAACAGTTATCATACACGTTTTACATGTAATCCCAAAAGTTTTGGTGCCAAGTCTGACTTTTGAAGTGTTCATTGTTTCCCATACGTAATATATTGTGGGACTCTTGTATTTCTCTACTATGCGTAGACTGTAATAAAATTGTGACTAGTCTTACCGAAGAATAAATGAAAAGAACCTTGCGAATCAGTCAAATGACGTTTATTTGGATAAATCACATAGAGTTGTTATAGATAAGGTTTCAAATGTTTATTCACAACTATACTCATCTGTAAATTTCACCGCTATTCCTCAGTATTCTATGCTAAATAGTATAGTTTTATTTCTAAGGATATGATAAAGAAGCATATGCATTCATTTAGAATTATTAAAGTATAAAAAGTAAATTTTAGGTACGACCAAGATTAGAGCCTTTTTGAATGATGAGTTATTCACAAAACGTACTAAGACTAAGTGAGATCTTGTGAAAATGTACACCAAAATAAATATGATATGTTATGCTTTTAAAAAGAAAATATAAATTATGGAGACGTTTGACTCCATCAAGCTATCATCACCTTTAAATGTTGAATTTAAAGTTAATAGTTTTATATTCAGGAAGATTGCGAGTAAGACCATTCATAACATGGTGAAACATCCCCTAGGTACTATTTACTTATAAAGTAATTTAAACAGAACAAATTGAAGTCTGTGTTCCCAGGTAATTCACATGCTTAAAAAAGTGTTTTCAGTGGAAAAGAGCCAATCGTATGAGGAAACAAAGATCGTAAGAGAAAAAACAGCTCCAAGTAACATAGAATTCCTAACTAGTAAATAAGTCAAAAGTTCTCCACAACGTATGGTGTATTATTCTTTTTTCAAAAAGCTAATAAAGTAACAAATTAGATATCCATAAAACCTGAAACTGATGGGTATCAAATCAAGTTACTATGCCACAACAACACGGCGAGACATTAAGAAAAATTATAACAAAGCAACTGAAATAATAGCATTGCTAATCATACTTAAGATATTAGGTAGAAAAAACAGTTTGAAAATAACAGTGAAGCTGAGGTGTAAATATTGTGAAGCAATACATAATACATAATGGAAAATAAAGAACTCATACATTTTCGTCACTGTAATCGATTTTAAGCCATGTCTATACTGATTACAACTGTACCTTAGATTCGAACAAGAAAATCCCTTCATCTTCATTTAATTCAAAATTATACCGCATGACCTTATGGACTGATGCAACAACTTGACTCACCTTACGATTTCTTTCCAACATGTTAATATGCTAGTTGTTAAGGCTTTTGCCCCTGTCAATTATCACGTGGCAAACTCGCCAATCGGATGCCGACTTACATGACCTTGTTTTTGTGCTAAACCAATGACACGTCGACCAATAATAACAGCCTTGCATCAACTCTGATTCTTTCTTCTTTCTTCTTGTCTAGTCCAGATCACCATCCCAGCCTCCATTGTATGGATAATATATTTCAAACATACGTAGTATATATGCAAGCAAACGAGACCACAACAACCTATAGAAATTATACAAGATCAAGCCGAAAGTGTCTGAGTGTGAGATACTCTAACTAATAGATTAGGAATAACTTAAGAATAGTAAATCGTAAAATAATAGCCAATAGGTCAAAGAAAGCTTATGATAGAAGGAATACGAATATATATAATATAGTTACTTAAAAGTTATCTAATAGGAATGTATGTAATAATAGTTCATAAATAATCCCTAGCAGTTACCATTCATTTATTCTTCGTTCGAATGTGACATTAGCTATTATTAGATCATAAATAAGTTAACAATCCTAGTAATCGACTATGTAAAACATAATCCACCAGGTAAATTTTAATTAAAGTTACTGTTTTATGTCATTTATATTTCTTCAAACGAACATATATTATGTTAAATGCATAAATATGAGCTGTTACTCGCCTTTTAATGTGCATTGATGAACATGATAAATAACTGTAGTTTTTTGTTAGAATAGACAGATTTCAGTATTCAGCCAGCTTCTGACATTACCATAAGCAGTGTGAAGCCTGATTACACGTAGGTCCCCTTAGCTACCATCAGATTTAATCTCTGTTAGAATTCACTGCGGTTTGAGACGCGAGTTATGTCTCAAAAACTGTTACATTCAATAAATTTTCTCAGTAGATTCAGTCAGTTAAGTTACAAACAATTATTTGATGGGTTAGATTAGTGAGTACCGACCCTTTTGTTATTGGTCCCTAAAAGTTTAAAACAAATAACTGAGTAATATTTGTAAATGTAGACAACTCCCATTTCCAGTGAAAAATAGGATGATTATGTACACGATTCCAATAAATAATTAACAAACAATGAATTATTAGTGTTTTCTGTGAATTCATCATAGAAAGATTTTCACATTATCTTTTTATTATGTCGTGGTATGTTAAGCACAAACCAATCATAACCTTTTAAACTTGGGATTAATTTATTTTACTATGGATGACTAGTTTACGTGATACACCAGGACCCCAAAGATCTAATCTTACAACAGCCTTTAGTACGCGAAAATATCATTTTACAAGTAAATCATTCGATGCATATTCAAGAGAACCTAGTTCAGAATGGATTCCACGACAACAGCCTCCAATTAAGCGAGTACAAACTCAAAGAAAGCCGATTCAGTACAGTAAGTGAAATATTCTACAGACGCTTTTTGTTCAGTGTCTTAATTGTACTAATCAGAAATACCTTTTGCAATCGATGTAATTTATTTAATAATCTTTTAAATTACTTTATCAATTTATTTTAGTGGTTCACTCAAGTCATCTTGTCTGTTCTCATTATTTATCGTATTCAAAGACAAACGTTTTACATTTTTATTCATATCAACATCTATCACTATTTCAAGCTATAATACGTTATCAAGTAAAATTGAAACTATCATAAGCGGGTTTTGAACATCAGAACATTGATAATTAGAATTTAATAGTTCCCTGAGTTTGGTTTGAACTTCACATAAAATGTATTTCTTGCTGTCAAATATATTAATGAAGTACGACCTGAATATCGCTTTATCATTAGAAGAGTCACTGAAATTGTTGACTATCAAACCAATTATCATACCTCATTTACTACATTTAATTTTAGACCAGAAAAAATCAGTTAGATAGAAGAATGACAAACGTTAATCAATAAGATTAATGTAAACAATACAGTTCATGTTCTTCTGATGGAAATAGGACAAATTATTAATCATTTGTTACTTTAATAATCAATTTAATAGTACCGTATTTATTTATAACTAATTTTCATAACCGATTTAATATTGAGAAGATATATTTTAGAAAGTACAAAGAATTGGACAATGTTTTCTTGTTAATTTTAATATCTTTAGTCTATAACATCCAAACACTTTACTCGATTTAACTGAAATTTTCCATTGTATAATCAGTTATAATAAATCAATAATCTTTAATGATCAGATACTATAATAGTATATATTTTATTAAATATCAAAAGCAGAATCTCCTTCAGCTAGTCCATCAAAACAACAACATCAAGGTAGGTCAAGTTAGAATATACATCTTCTAGACTTTCAAAGAATAAGTATTTCTATTAACACTAAATTTGTAGTTAACAGTTCTAACAATCCTAATCGATATTACCTTTAACTTAATGGTTTACGCTTAACATGCCTACACTATTTGTGTGTAATTAGTTTTTAATTAACCGATAATTATAAATGATTTACTGATATAAAAAACTACTCAAATGACATCTAATTTCATATATTTAACTAACATTAGTACTTTGATATGAAACTGTTTTTTATACTAAATACCGACTCTGTTGCGTATTCATTTCTAAGAACATTACTAATGACATCTCCACTACATGGATTTGTGAAAGTTATTAAACTTTAAGTCAGTTTTCATTCAGCAATTTTAGTTACACATAAATGAATCTTTAAAAATTCATTGCCCATTAGTGGGTAGCTCTGAGAAAAATTCTTCAAGTTTGTGTAAGAAAGTATGACTGATGAAAGCTAACCATGCAAGGAATATCAGTGCGCTATTGAATAATAGTTGCTTAACATAGACAACTGGCTCACGTTACAAATGTGAATCATTATATCAAAACTCAATGGTTTGATTGTCTTATGGTCACAACGAGGCATTAATATCTTGAATTTGATCCTTGAAGTGAGATATCGGGTGGAACATACAAAAAGGTCTTGGTTTATAATAAAGTAGTTGTTCAATTTCTTAGTTTTCCAGGTTAAGTAAGTTAATCATATAACCCAACATAAGATGAACTCAATGTTAAGTGACCAAAGTCCTATTCAACCTTTATTAACGGTTGAAGGATATTCGACTAAATTATTACGTAACTCTGTGAAGTTTGAATAATTTTTTCTGGTTAGCGTTTTTTCAGCGAGTTAGTTTTCTACGGGATGGGGTTGCTAACCCCATGCCCAATCCTCCTCCTTTGTCCGGGCTTGGGATCGGCAGTAGCCCCGGAGGGACTCCAGACGGAGTTAACTCTGTAAGGGGTCAGCACTAATTTGACAACCTTATTCACTTCCTTATATATTGAACATTCTTCAAGATATATACTTACTTATCCTCATTAGAACAAAACAAATACGTTATGTGTTGGAAACTATGATTAAAGAGTAACATCGGTTCAAATCCACTGTAGTTGCAGTACATTTTAAATGTTACCATCATTGGTTGAAAATACTTAAATAGTTAATTATCGTATATTCCTTCTAGGATTCTCAAACACCTTTCCATAGTTTTTTTATTACTCTCAGGATTAAATTAATTACGATTAATTTGTTTTAAATTCTAACGACTCAAAATTTAACTTTCATTTCATACTTATGTACAGAAATTTGTGTTTTAAATTAGTTATATAGTGATTGGTCAAAAACTCTCATACTTAGAGTAAAATACACGTTTTTGTTTTCAAAATTCTTGTTTGGGATATGAGTATGAAATTTACAATACAAAAATTATGTAGGTAATAGTCAGATATTAATCTCTTTATTGAAAATACTTTCAAATGTGATTCTAGAAAAAAGGATGATAGTGATTAAAATTAGGAATTCAATGCATTTACGCAATTCATTTACACAGCAAGTGTATGTGAAAGAAACAGTTATTCTTTGAACTGCTTTGGTTACATAAAAATTATTCAGTTCAGTCAGTCGATGTACATATTTATCTTTTCGTTAAATAATTAAAATCAATGAAAAATGAGCTTAATATCTTTGTAAGAATATTAAATATAAATACTACATATGTCCCACATTTTCCCTTTTTTTTATGATCTTACTTATGATTTTGCTAGAAAGATAGTTTAAGGTCACTAAACAGTAATAAATATTTTAGTTTTCTGTATTTCAGATTGCTGTACTAAACAGATTACTAATACTGACTTCTTCATCAACTTATTATCCCTATGTATTACGTCATCGATTTTCATATTTTATTGTGCAAACTTTTACATTTAAATTAATCTAAGATTAACATCATGAACCGGTCAATGTTAGATCACCATCAGAAACTTGGATGCATTGACCGGTCTTTTCGTCCTAGTATGGAACTCCTTAGTAGCGCGCTCGGACGATCCCCATACGACAATCGAACCTAGGACCTTCAGTCTCGGACGCGGACGCCCAAACTTCTGACCAATGCGCAGGCATCCTATGGTGTTAATGTCTAATTTCAACTAATCCATGATATTGTGCGATCATCAGGTATGAGCCAGATACTCGCCGAAGACAATGAAGGATGGTGGCGCAATATTGTGGACTCGTCGAAGTTATACATTAACACCGTTGAATGTCAACTCATTTGTCTAGAGGTTAAACGTTCGTGCAAAAACGAAGATCCTAGGTTTGAGTCCCGTGTGCAGGATCGTGTGTGCGAGCTGCTGATGAGTCCCATACTAGGATGAGACGGTTGTCTAGTGCTTCCAAGTTTCTAGTGGTCATCTAAAATTGATTATTTCATGATCTAAATTAAAACTCAACAATCTCCACAATCCTATAGTGACAATCTAAAATTTTCCTTTTGCATGTTAAGAATAATAAATTTCTGTAGATTTCTATATAGCATATCTTTACTTTTATTAATTATTAGCCTATTATTTGCGTTTTTGCGTTCTGACATTATTTTCGGTTTTTTAAAATTCGTTTTTTGTTAAAAGTTCTTCATTTTAATCACAAGTTTTTGTCATCTTTCATAACTTATTTAATATAACTCGTCCGAAGATGTCTCCAGTCACTTAATCCATCCCGATGTTTAGGATCTGATGATATCTCAAACCTCCTTTTTAAAAAATGTGCTGACGTCCTATGTTATCCATTCACGACTATCTTTAACCGATCCTTTTCATCTAATCCCATACCGAAAATGTGGAGAAAGATGAAGATAATCCCTGTACCCAAGAAAGTATCTGGTGATAAGAATGTGAAATTTAGACCTATTGCAATAACTTCACCCTTCCTCAAAACAATGGAAAAATTATTAATACTTCCACTTCAGCCTGCGATAAGAGAGCATATTGATCCGTATCAGTTTGCCTACAGATGGAAATGAAGCACCTTACATGCCTTTGCTGTTCTGCATCACAATATAGTGTTCAAATTAGAAAAGGGTAAGAAGTATGTTCGATGGGCTTTTCTGGACTATACTTCAGCTTTTGATTCTATACCAAGACAAAGTTTAATTAACAAGTTAATCAGCGTCAACACTGACAGCTAGATAACCAACTGGCTATGTTCCTACCTCTCTGAAAGGGAACAGTACACTGTGTTTGGAGGAAAGTGTTCAGAGTCTCTACTGTCTCATGAAGGTGTACCACAAGGAGCTGTTCTTTCACCTCTTCTTTTCTCTTTTTTTCTGCATGATTGCCGTCTTACACGAAAAACACTTTTGTGAAATATGCGGATGACCTCACTGTATGTGTGCCTATCTCTCCTCTTTACATCCCATAGAAATGAATGGGTTTTTGTGTCGTATTGATTGTTGGTCTGTTGTTAATGGCCTCATACTTAACCCGTCTAAATGTCAAGCTGTCAACTTTAGCATGAGACATGAACGGAATCTAAACACCATTTTGAGATCCCACAATGTTTGATAAACACAGTATCACCTATTATTCTCTACTGTTCTCAATTATCCCTTCTCGGGCTTTTGAGAAAAGAGTTTGTTGTATTGCGGAAAGTGCTGGAGGCAGTTAGCAAGATGTGTGGTGAATCTTTCGAGGTCATAATTAATATGGTTGTGGATACACATCTAAAGTCATGGAAACTCCTGGCAGATGTTATTTAATCAGATACTAGTCATCCTCTTCACTCTTATCTTTCTCCTTGTATATCTTCTGGTAGAACGATGCGTAATTACATTAAAATCCATGCACGCAAGCAAAAGTATAAAAGTTCTATAATACCTTATCTAGCAAATATACTCTGTGACGAACAAGTTGTTCGAGTTAACCTAGTCAATAACCTGCACTCTTAACATGTCTTGAATTTGGAAAGTTACACAGTTTTTCGGATTTTTGTAAACCTTTTTCTGCTTTTTTGTCTTTGTTTCTGTTTTTTTTTTTGTTTTGTGTGTAAGAAACTTGTTGAAATACACTGTTCTGAGAATTCTATATTGTACCAAAATATAATATTGAATAAAGCCAATAATAATAATGCTGTAAAATCTGGATAGGTTCTATTGAAGAATGCAGTGTCTTCTGGAATATATATGTAAACTCTTATCAAGTTGTAGTGCGAGCTCATATTTGCCTGCACTTTACTGAACTTATAGTATTCATTTCATCTCTGTATATTAGTGTAAAGTTTTGGATCCTCGACTAAAAGACTATTTAGGTTACGGTTTAGTGGTGGCCATTCTTTTTAAAACAAATTTGTGGTATTTCTGCATAATGAACTAACCGGTAACCATTTTCGAGATCTTTTACTGTTTTTAACTTCATAACGACAAGATTATTATTGAGTCTTAGATTTTACAACCTTTGTCACAGTTTGCGTATGTATTTACAATTTGTTCGAATAAAAATTTATTAAATTTTATAATGACTCTATTTATATATTTGGGTTACCGAACAATTGGTTTGAGATAGTTATCTTCTTGGAATCAGTGTATTTGTTTAATCTGTGTGTTTTGTGATCACATGCTTATCGCTTCTCGGCTCTCTGAGCTAAGATCATGTGTAGTATCATGAGCTTATAGCGCTATTCTTCATACACATACTGGCATATGACAAGTACATTTATCTCTAGGTTCACTAATTTATGTTTTTAGTATAAGTCACACTCAGTAGTTTCTGACAAAGTTTAAATAAGTACAGGGTAACCACTCCTGCTTTTCATTTTTCAATAATCTACTAGAATCTTTTTACATAAAATAATCAATTGTGGAAGAAAAATGATTTTCTCAACCCGTTTCTATTTTATTACTAGTATCTGGTAGTGTTGCACCAGTTGCTTATGGAGAAGAACCTGATCAGTATTATTTGATGCCTGGGACACCTTCTCCTTTACCAGCTAATTCAGTTAATGTTGATGTTTTGCAAAATTTACCACCATCTTACCGTAAACCAGGTCCAATTCGAGTACCTTTACCAGAAGATCACTGGCAAATGTCAGCAGCTGATTGTACACAAGGATTAGGAAGAAATATTGATGGAACAGACATAGCAGCAATGCCAGAAACAGAATGGCAAGTAAGTCATCTTGTAATATGTTTATCCTTGAATTACTCACTTTTATACTCTCCTTTGGTATAGAGTCATGAAATCGAGTGTCAGATTGTCAGGCACCTAGCCATCTTGGATTATTTGCTGCATATAAACCACCATTTTTCGTCGTTTAAGGAAAATGGAATTTTGAGACTGTATATGTACGATAGTCTCTTTAATTCTGTTATTCGGAGAAATTTCATCACAATCCCTTTATATGGTTGAATTAATACAGGTATTTAAATTAAGAAGAGTGAATCATTTCAAGTGAATCAAATTTAACTGACTATTTTGATCTACTTATAATTCTATTGATTACAGACTCAAAGCGTAGCACCCCCTACTTTTAACTGTGACAGCGTTTAACTACAGTAATCAACCAGTGAATATGCATATAACTGAATAAGGGATTTTAAATTCCTCGGACATTTATTAGGAAATATATAATGAGCCTGACCAGTCACCAATGTGCACTCCAGATCCACGAAACTGTAGGAACTCAGAGACTGATATATGTATACCACAACCTGCTTGGAGTATTCATTTTCTAATTTTACTAGGTTTCACTCATAAAATACGGAAGTTCTGCTCTGCTGTCTTAGCGAATCTAGAAAAACTAAAAGAGAAGACATCTTCAGATCCAGCTCCGAAATGGGCACTTCAAGAATGTGTTAAAGAATGAAATAAGGAGTTATCAAGAAGATGGATTTATTATTGAGAAAGATTAGCTGGGTTTTCAATGTATTATAGATACATTAATTACGCCTGAGTAACATTTAGAAATGAAAATTTAAAGCTTCTTCGAAACTAACAAAAGCTCTGTAGCCCACTTCCGACTTCCTTTAGTGTAAAGAACTACAGGCAACTTGTTTGTAAAGTCCACAGTGTTTACTTAGTGCTATGGAAAGTTGTGGGAGATTGAAACTGCAACAATCGGACAGACTTCCATGTTAGCTGTGGTCTATGCTACTTATGTTTGAAGATATAAGTAGTATGTGACACCAGTCGGAAATGAAATGTCTGCGAGTAGAAGGTTGAGAAGATTGACACGAAGAGAAGAGAAGGAAGCTGAAAGCAATCAGTATAACAACGGGAATGAAGGAAAATGAAGCTTGTAAGAGACAATTCAGAGAAGATATGCAAATGATATATTTGATGTCTATCAGCTACCCTGTAGTCGATTATCACCATAGAAAGCCAGAAATGGGATTGATATTGGGTCCTCACCACTTTGCTAAATTAAAAAATACAACTACTGACTCAAAGTAATAAAAATCTAAGAACTACAATGATTTAGCTCCAGTGGCCTCTAATAATAATGTTCTAAGATCACTAGATGAACTGACAGAGGTATTACTTATTTTTTGACATCTAACATAGGTCCATTCGACTGCTCTCCACACTGACTAGTTATATTTTAATCTAGTATGAGACCACCTCTTGATCACCTCAGAAGCATCAGCTTGATTGATACGTCTTTAAAATTTTAGCTGTCCTAATTAATTGCCTTCTAGTCGTGACTTAAAGGAAGCAAATCCATGAAACATAGAAGTATTTTATATGTAGCTGTGATTTCTAAATAAGGACTTGTTTGCCGAATTCCTACTGTAGTCGTGTTCTCTGACATCAAAACGTTATTCGAGTCTACCCACAGAGATGTTTTTTGACAGTTCGTCATTCTATAGATCGTTTTTCACTCAAATGCGGATAGTTCAGTGGGGCTTACATGGAAGTGTTATCTGAATTAGCTTTGTCAAGTGGTATCCATTAGGGCTATCTACTTCTCCTATTACCATTGAATCCTATCACAAATACGTTCTAAAACTTACGAGTACTTAGAATTTGATTTGCAGAAGATGCCAACACAATACAAAGTCGTTCGAAACTTATTAGTGACAGCGAACAGATATATGAATCGGGATTTTTACCCTCTACATGAAAAAAACGCTTAAGAACTAATCCCTGCCCAGTATGACAACGGGATTTGAAGTAATTAGATGTTATGACCACTCTTTTAAGGAGCCTCACTATTCTTGACCAGTTACTACGAAAAACTTCTTTGCCCCTTACCCTAATACATTAATTTTGACATATTTAAAATACTTGCATGATTAGCAAATGGAAAGCATATTACTCAAAGGTGTACTCAGTATTTTGTCACTAACATTGAATTTATCCCTTGTACCTCTACGTTGTGTGAAGGTCGCAAGAAATTCGTTATAAATATCTTCAAACCACTACCTTTGTTTGACAGAACCACTGATTAAACAGAGCTGCTATTAAGCACATAATTTCATAGCGATGTGGTCAATCTGTTGATGAGGTTGTAAAACCCTATCGATTGACGTAGTGAATGCATTTGTTGTTTATGACTGGTCACTCCTTACTTTGAAGTGCTAAGGTGATTAGAATAGGGGCAAATTTGGAAAAGCGTTAGAGCCAACATAATTAAGTGACATTTAATAAAATCATTACGAAAATTATTCCGATATTGAGGAATTAATAACTGCCTTTCTGTACCGTACACATTTTTGTTCTTTGGTCTCACCCACTATGTTTACACTCGTTTTCATTTGGGGATGTCATCAGTGCTACCATCAATATCATTCAGCAGGTCAATGAATTAACTGAAATGTTCAGAATCAGTGATCTCGTTTGTTGTTAAATCCTACTTTAATGCCGTTTAATAATCTGTATTTTATGAAGTTTTCACATTTTATTACCCGTCGTACGTTCAAATGCTTTACATAATTGTGATTGCTTATATTTCACCTAAATACCAAGAATAGAAAATTCACTGAAAGTTTAAAAGCGTACTCAAAAATTGGCTACCGAAGCAATGAGTTCTTTCAAATAAGTTATGAGAGTAGCAGGTTTAATAAAGATAAAAATAACATAACATTATTAAATAGTAAAATCAAGTTAAAGATTTTGGGTATATTCTATTGTCTGAGAATCATTATATTCAGTAAGCCGATTACAAAGTCAAATCATTCTAGAGACATTATGTATCTATTTTAAAGTCGGTGTATTTGTGATTGACAGAAAGGTTTTCATTTGATTGACTTTCATATTGACTTGTCTCTGATTTCTATTACTGTTTACATTTAGGGTTGCCGTACAAATTGGGGTTTAAAAGGTCCAGGAGCTTATTACTACGAAGCATGTATGCTTGAAGAAGGTCAAGTACGTTTAGGTTGGTCAACAAATGATGCTAGCCTAATTCTCGGGACAGATTCTAAAGGCTTTGGTTATGGAGCTGATAAAACAGGTTTGTTTAATAAATGTACAATCACCCTAGAAATCATTCATTTCTTCATCATGAAACATTGAAAGTTTTTGATTTATTGGTAACATATAAATGGAGATTTTATAAGAAACGATCATTACTATGGTAATTGTTCCTTATTAGAATCATGCAATATCTCTGTAATTAGCTATAAACCTGTATTCAAATCTAATTCATTATTAATAACTTTATTCAGGATTAGTCAATTCTGTTCTAATGGTTTTTTTCAAAAAAAAAAAACTATGTATAAAGTAAAACTTAAAGGTTAATCTGCTTCCTCATTTTAGTTGGTCGTAACAAATTTTGGCCAGTTTAAACCTTTGACAAGTAAATTATCCGATTCAGTTTAAAATGAATTTAAGTGCTAATATTGAGCTTATAAAATAAATTGACTAAACTCATACTATTTAGTGGTTACTTTTCGTTCCTAAATATTATACGATAGTTGGATTCAAATTAAAGGGAACTACAGATAAATAATTTTTTGTAGGTAATATGATTGATGAACTCCACCTGGAGCCCCTCTGGAGCTGCTACCGGTCACAAGCCCGGATAAAGGAGGAGGGTTGGGCATGGGGTTAGCGATCCCATCCCTCAGAAAACTAGCTCGCTAAAAAATCCTAACTTATATGGCTGATAAAATTTGCAGTGTTCTATTTATCAACTATATTCCCTTCATGAGAGGAAGACCCAATATTTTAGTGTAATCAGCTAAATTTTTTCAACAATTCAACTTCAGTGAGTCTTTGAGTTTTCCCACTGTTGATAATAAAGATTGAAATTGATTAATCTGTTTTGACATATCTACATCCTGAGCAGTATGCCTCGAAATTATCACTAATTTACGAGCAGCTCATTAGGTGACGCGTTGGTAGGTTGAAGCGGAAGGTAATGTGTTTGAGTCACTGACTAAACATCCGCACGGATGCCCGTATATCCTGTTGACGAGTCCCCAAACGAGACAAGACAAGCATCCTGAAATTCAATGCTAGCCACTATCCACTCTTACTTAAGTTACTTGTGATTGATCAAAATTCAGTTCTTAGAATAAACAAGAGGAAGATTTAAAATGTTACAAGTGAAATAATACTACTAATACTGCTAAATAATATTACCATACTTCTTATCCGTTCAATTTTTTATGTAAAGGTATTGGATCAGCTGATAATCCTCATCCAGTTGGCAAATTTATCTACGCAAATAATTCAATTGATTACGGAATGCCAATCGTACCAGGAGATGTAGTTGGATGTTATTTAGAATTAAATCCGAGTGCTGATAAAGATCATCGACGAATCGATATACACTATAGTTACAATGGCCAATTATTAGAAACTCCAAACTTTAAACTTGTTGAAACATTAACTCCAGATATAGCACTCTTCCCTGGTAAGTCATTTATTGTATCCTTCAGTAAACCATTTTTTCTTTATTTCATGAAAGCTAAATGTAGAATGTTAACACGTAAAGAAACTAATGCTTGAATGAATATACAGATGTTTGTCAAACCTATAGTAGTTATTTTTTTCTAAATAGTCATGGTGTGACAAAACAAATAATCTATGACTGCTTTCCTTCTTTTCAAGATTAGTCTATCCTCAATTAAACTGGTGGGCTCACATCTGTTATAAAGCACAAATTACTACTATTTAGGTTGATAGACTAAAATGTAATTTAAAGATATTAGGAACGTATTGAAATTCAAATTGAAATAGTTTGGATTATCCCGTTGTTGATATTTTAACTAAATTTGATCAGGCTTGGTTGGTCTATGTGCGGATTGCCTAGATATCGCCATCATGACACAAGTCAGTATAGAATAGATGAAATGTGGATGGCAATGTTGTTCTGGACACATGTTTCGTTGTATTTGGGACTCGCCAAGTGCTCAACAACTATCGGATCCAGGTACATCATGAACAAAATGTGAGCCCTAGATTCTACTTCTAGTGAAATCCCATCTGTTCTTTTATAGCTTCAGTTTGTTGATGACGATGAGTCTTACCAAATCTGATCTGCAACAATAAACTACACATTGCATTACACTTTTATTCTTCAATTCCAAATAGTACTAAAATCGACATTTTCATATTTCGATTTTCATCATTTTTCAGTGGACCACACTTTCCTTCATTCACATGCCAAAAATTTGATGCAAACTGTAACATCTAAAAGAAATGCCAAAAAGAGATTTTTTGGCAGCTGTATTTCATTGAATAACTAAATTTTAATGGCAACTCGATACCATTAGAATGTAATAAATTTCAACCTATTTATATTAGCAAAGTATATCAGATCATTTTTCTTGACTAAGCAAACGTATATCACTATCATGTTCCGATAGCTTAAAATATAATCAGCATTCTTATTCAGATTTGAAATACCTTCAATATAATGTATCTGAATATTTGAGAAGGCCTATGGAAACACTAATTGTAGACTAAGCAATTAATGATTGTTTATAGCAGGTGTAATCTTTCGTAAATTCCCTTTAGAGAGAAATTAATTCAGCACTTAAATATGACGTTTCTGTTGAGCACAAAATCAAATAACAATTCACAAGTATATAATTTTCAGTAGCCAACTCAGCCAGATCACTAGAGTTGCTTCGAAATCGTTACTATAGTATAAACGTGTTTTCCAGATTTTTAACTTCTATTTCATTAAATTAGATGGTGAATAGGTACGGAATTACTATTAGACAGCTATGAGGTGGTTTACGTTACATTTCACAGTCTTATTAACCATTAACAATTTAGATCATTATCTTGTTCGCTTTTGAATATTTCTCTTACAGCCGTATCACTTAAAAATGCCAGAGTTGAAGTAAACTTTGGTGACAAGCCATTTAATTTTCCACCTAAAACTACCCCTTCGACTAATAAACATTGGGTAGCAGTATCATACGCCCCCGATTCTTCAATTGTATGTAATCGGAATGTTGGTTGGCGGGTGAACCCAAATGATGTAACATCAAGTACAAATTTATTAGTATCACCTAATGGTCGATTTGTACAAGCTGTAGAAAATACCGGATGGCAAGGCTTTAGAGTGAACAAAGTAAACATACTGTTGGTTTAAATTTTTGATTCATTCATAAGTTTAGTTACTATAACCTTACGTTTGTGAGACCATTTTGTTAATTCAGAATCCATTCCGATAGAAGATTAATTATCACTGGTTAAGAATGAAGCTAACTTTCCGTATTTATAACTGTTTGAAAGCAGAACCTCAGCATATTTAAAACGAATCTTCAGCATGAACTCTTTCTTCTAGAGGCGTAACACAATTAGATAATTGGTAATGCTAAAAGATGCACTATTCAGATTTCTTAGTTTGAATTTACTTCTAGTTCATAACAACTCCACTTAGACATGGAATAGATTGGGTATTATGAAACTGTCTAGATTTCTCTATAGATGTATCTATAATGTCAAGATTATAGCTTTGATTTCTACTCTCCAATGTGTTCTCTTTAAATGACCAAAATGCTTAAGAGTTGAATCGGAGAGAAAAACAAACACGCTGAGTTTTGAACTATTCGTAAAGAGTGACAGAAACCCAGTTGTTGGACGGTATAAAATTGAGGTCAATATTGTATCCTTCAATTTTATCGTTAAGTTGTAACCTGACAAAACATAAATATTTATTTGGGAGTGGCTATCGCTAAGCATAAGAACCATATCAAGATTTTAACGTTCATTCTGTTTTTTTCTGCAAACTTCAATTATAATCCAAATTAAAAAAGATGCATGATTAACAGTACTTGATTATATATTGGCTCCATTTTACTAGTCTAAGGAATAAGTTGGCTTAGCAAATAACAATACGAATTACTGAAGAGGATTTCGAACTTTTAGTACTATAAAAGAATAATTATTAAGTTTTTATCTGTATAGATGATAAGAATTCTTAGAGATAAATTACATACATTTCCACAATCTATCTATTGATGTTATTCTAACTCACTGATAGCTTTTTAAGCAGTAATAATCAACAAAACACGTTCATAGTTGTAAGAAAACAGAACCTTTTCAAATGTTCGAAAATTTTATCCTAACTACATTCTAACAAGTTGAAACAAACGCTTGTAGTTCATTGATGATTATTTTGAACTACTAACAATATGCAGTATAAAACCAGTTTACAGGGAAAAGAAATCATACAAAAGTTCAAAATTTCTCTTACTAACTAAACCATAACTTTATATGTGAAAATTATATTTGAAATAATCTCAGTGATTGAAATTTGAATAATTCCAACGTTTCGCCCAGCCAACTTGTCTGAACTTCTTCAGGGTAATAATCAAAATCATTAAAGACAAGTTAGCTGGACAAAACGTTGGAATTATACAAATTTCAATCGCTGAGATTATTTCAAATATAATTTTCACATATAATGACTTCTCTTTACTCGGCGCCCAATTTCTGTCAAACTATTCGTTCTAGTCTTGACGAATATTCGTATAAATCATAAGTTACTTACTTTATAACATATTTAAACTCATAAAAGTAGTATGGATGTTAATTAATACAAGGATTGTATTCATATAATTAATAGGGAATATTTGGTGATAGAGCTTATTATTATGAAGTGAGAATTGTTGAAGACTCTGGATTAGCACGTATTGGTTGGTCATTTGAAAATGGATCATTAGATCTTGGTATAGATTGTTTTGGTTTTGGATATGGAGCTGATCGAGATGGTTTTGGCATAAATGGATCACAGGGGAAAAAACTTCATAGTGATATCATTGAAAATTATGGTGAAGTAAGAATTTATTTAATTGATGACTTATAATTAATATTATTTAAATTGATCTTTTTAACATTTATTAAGTAGAAACATGTTAAAGTTATTTGAATATTTCAAAGTGGTCTTGAGTGCTGTTAGAGGTATGAGGGCGATTATCACTTCCCCGCTGTCCACACCGTGGAAGGGTTGTTCTCGAGGTACCTGAAAAGAAAATTGGATTAGAGGTGGTCTTAGTGACCTGAGAGCGTGACCGCAGTGCCCAATGGACAACTGCTTGAGGTCGGTCACACACGACCTTGTTATGGGTAATTTTTTGTTAGCTCCGTACTTGTTGAGACCTTACAGCCGGAGACGGATATTCGTGAGATAAGGTGAGGTGTGCACTTTTAGGGTCGACCTTTTCTAACCCCACCCCTCCTTGTGGGAAGGCAGCATCGCTGTCATGCTGGTTGTCTGAAGGAAACACCTTACTGCTGTCACACTTCTATACATTCAGCAGTACGACCTCTCCTTCGGACCTTAGGTTTGTTGCTTTTAGTCTTATCTCTCTTCAACCGACCTGTCTGACATGGTAGGACGTTGAGGAACGGTTGTTCCAGCCAGTATAGCTTGGTTGCTTCATCACGATAGGCAAGCCCGACCACCACGTCAAGGTAGCAACAACGGTCGGTATATTTTCAAAAGTCACTAGTTTATCGAAAGAAAGAAAAATAAACACCGATTGACAACTAGCAACTAGCTAATTTAATTTCTCTTTGAAGTGTATCGAACAAAAATCTATTCACATAGTTGTATAGATTTTTATCGTTCACAACTTTCGTTTTTTAATTCGCTAAAAAATTAGTTTTTGATAGTGTAAAAGAAGACAAAGATTATTAGAATGATGTGATATATTAGCGTAATACATTTCGAATAATCTGATCACACATAATATACTTGTTAAGAACATTTATATATAATAATATAAAAGGTTAACTAGACTAGAAATGAAGGATAAGAGGAGACAAGGATAATAATGAAATAATGTGAAAATAATTTGCAACCTCATCACTCCAGATAATAAGCTAATATTACCAGGATAGGTTTTGAATACATTGAGGGGGTTTGAAATTTCGTATGGCTAATGCTTCAATTAATTTTTACTGGTAGCCAATTTTTCTATACTTTAATTTACACTTTAACTTGTAACTTTTGTTTAATCATACTAGATATTACATTGGCTGTAGAGTTTCTTATTTTTGACATTTGGTTGGAGATTAGTCATTGTGAGTACTTAAAAAAAGAAAATGTCATTTGTGGATTAGTTTAAGTTAGACAGTGGTATAATGGTTAAGCGCTCGCGCGCGAGACTGATGGGTCCTGGGTTCGAATCTCACGAGGTGGGGTCGTGGATGCGCACTATTGAGGAGTCCCACAATAAGATGAGACGGCCATCCAGTGCTTCTAGGTTTTCCATGATGGTCCAGCTTCAATTAACTCATGATCTCAACTATTGTAACAAATAATACTTTATATGATTACATTTATAATATTATTGAACAAATAAATTACTTTGACCAATATTACTTGATCTTAAACAATACTGTAGATGTAATTCATCATAGGTTTAATATCTCATTACATTTGACTCTCTATTAAAAGAAATAATAAATAAGGAAGTTTCCTAAACTTTTGTCAATGCTTTTTTGAAATATATGTCTATTTATGTATATCGTATCATAAAATTATTGAAAAACTAAAAATTCAGAGTAACATTTTTCTTATTCAAAATGTATGAAATAGTTTTACACTCATTTTAACAAAACAGGTAAGCTAAAGTTCGTTGATTTTTGTACATAAAAGATTATCTAACATCTATCAATGGATATAAGAATAATAGATTTGAATTTAAAGACATCTAAATCACTACCACATTTCTATTTAGATTACCTGATGTACTTGCTTACTTACTTACTTGTTTGTTACTCCTTATGGAGGGGCATAAGTGGCCCATTAGTATTCTCCATCAAATTAATGTATTAAAAAGAAATCTTTATGACCTTTTCTATGTTTCCTATAAATTCAGAAGTAAATATTCTTCAATTGGATACAAACAAACGGTAGCATATAGATTTGTCTGGTGCATGTTTTGCTCTTATCAAGATTTCATTTTTTTGTTAGCAGTTTATAAATGTCATTTGTTTGTTTATATAATAAATATTTATCTTAACTGACTATTATATCTGCTGGCTTTTGCCAACTTACGTCACCTATGCGAAGACGAGATATCCGTCTATTAACCAAGGAACGAGTATACTGCGCAGCAGTTTGTTCTGTTCTACTTTACGGCTGCAAAACGTGGCCATTAAGAGTAGAAGGTATTCGTAAGCTACTAGTATTTGATCACAGATGTCTTAGAAATATTGCTGGCGTCTGCTGGGATCACCCGGTAAGTAATAGTGAGGGTAGACGCAGAGTATAAAGGGATGATGGTAAATCAGTTGATGAGGTTGTTAATCTTCATCGACTGAGATGGTCAAGCCACGTGTTACGTATGCCTGAATACCGATTACCACGACGTGCAATGCTATCCGGTATTGGAGATGGTTGGAAGAAAGTAAGGGGCGGCCAAACCAAAACGTGGCATCAGCTCTTGAAGTCACTAACTTCTAGTCTGAGCCATGTTGGTAGATGCAGACTACTTGGTTGGGGTCCGCGTGACTTTCGTAACCAATGGTTGGAGACTCTTGGTAACATGGCTCAGAATCGATCACAATGGCGTCGGTGTATACACTCTCTATCTTCCCTTAAACTATGAGAATAAAATCGATTCATATCTTTCTTTCTATGAACTAATTCTTTCTTCCTGTATTATATCCTTATTGCAATCTTTCTTTTATATATTACCACCACTGAATTAACTACTTCTATGAATTCGGTGTTCATCTTGTTGTGCTAATGAGGCATGGCAACTTGGACCGATGCACATATGTGCCTGATCTTACGTTGTAACTGACTGACTGACTGAAATTTTGCTAATTAAAAAAATGTTAACCAAAATTTGTCTTATCCATTAAATAAAATAAATTAAAAAGAAATAAATCGAGTTTCAAACTTGATAGGATTACTTACAACTAAGTTCATTCATTAATCTATCATCTTAATTCTAGTATTTAGAGTTTATTTGTTTTATTCAAACACTTAAACATAGAGTTTCCATTGAAATAATTCATTTTTATTCCATGTATATTCGATAGAAATAAAAATAATCAAATATCATAATCTAGTAAAGTCATTCGTTCACCTCAAATGATGGAATATCATCAATATCAATATCAATACAAAGTTATGAAAAATACTTAATCAAATATGTATTAAACTATGAATAAACTGTTGGCTTACTGTACTTATATATGCGAAAATATAAGCCACTTTTAGGTCAATGTAAATATGAATGATAAAGATTAAATGAGATCAAATGTTGATGGAAATCAAACTATCCTAAATATAATTGTCAATGGTTAATACATTTAATTTAGATGTCAAAGATTTTGGTTCTATCATATTCATTATTTTGTAGTGAATGAAATCAAAATTTCTTACTAATGTATTATTAACCTGATTAGATATTCTTTTGAAACAAGTGTTAGATTAAAGTGATGTTATTATTTTGGAAATAAGACTGTTCGAATAATTAATTACTCTTAACATTAATATTAAAGTATTAATTTTGGGGATTTTGTTGTTTTTCTTATCGATTCCTAACGAATTTAACTTTCATTTATAAAAAGTAGTAGAATGAATTTCTTTGTTTTGTACTGTCTATATGATAGGGATGCATAGATATAAGCAAAAATCTCCATACGTTTTTATTAGTTTTACAACAATGGATATTATATTCGACATCAGTAAACAAAGTTAATTGTCAGCTCAGTGATGATTTGTAGCTCAGGTGAATGATTTCGATGGAATTTTGTTCTCTGAACTGGATGGTTTTCTCGTGGAACTTTCATCGTTCCTCTGAACGACATCATCAGCACAAACTTCAGATAGAAATGAAGTGTTCGAATTTCTCCACATGTGGTTCACAGCTTGTCCTGTAGACCTCGATAATGATTGGTTCTTGTTGACCTTTAACCTGTCATTGTTTACTTCTTTGTTTTGGTTCTATCTCCCACTGGTTTGATTTTTGTTCCTATATTTGTGCATAATTTTTCTGATCGGTTGACAAATTGGATCAATTTCAATGTGTTTGTTGATTGACTTGAAAGCTTGGCTTCTATAAAACTCCAAGTCAGTGCAGTGCACATTATTATTCCCAATCTTAATGTATTTAGATGTTTTGATGTCATTTATTTTGAGGAACTGAAATTTTCTAATCATCGAATGATCATATTTGACTAAAATAGGATAAATACACTTCTTTATTAACTGATCTACTATGAACTAATTTGTACATAATAAGAAATATTTGATTCATCGTCTATATCACATTCACAATTTTAAATATATGTTTCATCAAGATTGAAGTTCGTTAGAAAATTTTCTAAAACTCATTGAGTATTATACTGCACTATTGAGTTCATTATTCACCTTTTCAGTATTGTGCAATGATTGTATATTTTACCTAACTAAAAGTTCTTATCAGTTTGAATTATAACTAATAATCTTATAACTTCTTTTAGTTTATATTACTAAACTTCAGTTGAATTCAATCAAATAAGTTTCATTTATCATTTAAGGCACTTCATTTTTATTTGTTTCTTGAATATTATGTGGAACAATATTACTAGTTCAACATCTAGTATTATATAACTCAAGAAATATCTTGATTTCTTAAGTTATTTTACAATTAATAAAACACATTTCTTACAATACTTTAAATGATATTAAATCTATTCATTTTTATAGAAACAAACGTTTCTCTGTCATATAAAATTAGTCAGTTTACTAAGTAGTATTGTGGTATGTGCTACTTATATTGACATAAGTAGTATATGATGTTAGTCGTTAACAGAAAGTCGGGCAGCAGAGAGACAAGAGGATCGAACAGTAAAGAATGGAAACAGGATGCAATTTGTATGAAAATGCAAGAACAATGAAATCTGAGTCATTTTGAGACAATCGATGGACATTTTTCAAACTAAGCATTTACTTTATGATTGTTAGATTTTATTAACAAGTCCTGTAATTTTGTGCTTATTACATTCGATTGTTGCCAACCCGTGTTCTATTCACTGCGGTATCTTTATCTTTTGATACTTTATAATAATTTAATCTCTATAAGGAATCAACTTAATCAATCACAAATTTAAATATGTACAGTCATACAGTTTTCTTCCTTTATGAATATTAAACAAGTTATATAACATTTAACTAACAAAATGACATCAGCTTTCACAAAGTCTGTAAACCTTTTATATAAATACTCATAATTTGTTACAATTTAATACGTTTTCTTTGTTTTGTTTTGTTTATATTCATATGAATTAAGTAAACAATTAGACTAGACTCAATCAGTGATTTTAATTAACCAATAAGCCATAATGTTTTTTTTTCAGGTATCAAAACAAATACGTGTCTACATGTTTGATAAATAACTATGTAGTTTATTTCTAGTTTAAATTGTTAATTGAATATTGTTTTAGATTATTTGCTTTGTTTTCAAACTAGAAAAACAATTAATCATTTCGCTGAGTGAAATCATGAGTCAATTGAAGCTAGACCACCATGGAAAGCCTGGAAGCACTGGCTCAGTGGTCTAGTTGGTTAAGCGCCTGGCACGAGACTAATAGGTCCTGGGTTCGAATCTCGCAAGGTGCGAGATTGTGGATGCGCACTGCTGAGGAGTCCCATACTAGGACGAAACGGCCGTTCAGTGCTTCCAGACTTTCCATGGTGGTTTAGCTTCAAGTGACTCATGATTTCAATCAGTGAAATTTGTAAAATCTCCAAAAGACCCCTTCTGGTAATTAGTCATTTAATTTTAAAAAAACTTTAAATATTTTTACTGAGGGTTTGTGAAGATTATCAGATATTTTAGTTAGAGAGCTATTAAAACACAAGGATACTGGTCAGCTGATTCATTCTTGTATTGATCCATCTACAGTGTCTATCCATGATCTCACCAAGGATCGAAATAAAGACCTTCTGTTCTGCTATGTGCGATTAACCTTCAGATTATTGAACCAATGTACACTGGTATGTCATGTCAATTGTCAAATAGTTATCTACTTCATACAATGAAAGTTGGTTGTGCACTGTCGTGAATGGATGGCAGCTCAGTAGTCTAAAGGTTAGTCGCACTCAGTAAGGTCGAAAGTCCTAGGCTCGATCTTCGATGAGGTTTCTGATGCACATTGCTATGGAGTCCTATACTTGGAAGAGGAAACTTCCTATGTCCGTTGGTTCCCAATGGTTTTCTATATAAAATTTGTTCGTGACGTAAAGTGTGAAGACAATCTGTTACAGCTGCATATCACCATATAACAAAATGCAAAAATATTGATCGATAATAAGTTATTAGTATGGATATTGCTAGTTATTCCTGAAACATAAACTTACTTTTCATATAAATGGGCGTATATAACAATTTTTTGGTACTTCATATTGGCTTCAAGTTTAAAGAATAACATATTTGATTACCACTACAACTGATTATATGACCTGATATAGTGGCTTTATAAAGTTAATAAGATGAATAAATTTATTTGTTGAAATTATCTTATGATAGAATAAAATGCTTTTTTTTTCAATAAATTTGATTTTTTTTAAATTGTGGTTGATATTGAAGTTCGATAGATTGGTTTGGTTTGAGTAGATGAATACCTCAAACATCTAAAACCTCTTAACGTTTACAATTGATTGACCACTGGGTGGTGATCGATGTCATCTATGTCAGATCCTTCCTAGTGCAAATCGAATCCTATCGATCAAGTTGCAATGTGGCCACCAGTCTAGATGACTCGACATTGCGTGCACTGTGTTGAGATAAGATCTTGGTTGGAGGTTATCAACAGGAAACCCTGGACCTAGGTTTTACGCTACTTGTCACTCGTCAGCAAGATGTACCTGTAATCTTGAAGGAACTGATGCGGATCAGATAGCTCAGTGGGAACGTCTCTGACTGTGAAGCTAGGTGACAAGGGATCGAATCAATCAGGGAGCATCAGTCCCCTCAAGATTACGGGTATACCTTGCTGACGAGTGCCAAGTAACACGAAACCTAGGTCCAAGGTTTCCTGGTGACGACCTTTAACCCCCGCCTTACATGTGATCGTATTATTGTAGTAGTGAAAATTTCGTAGATATTCTGAAACTGACTTTATTTCTATATTCCTTCAGGAAAAAAAATTTACAAGTTAGCTAATATGAGTACAGAACATAATAGGCCTAATCGGGATCCTTTTTAAATCATGTATCTGTTTGTGGAAATTTTTCTATCAAAGATATATGCTTGAAGTTGACTCCTTATGTTATTATACCTCATATAAAATGAATTATGGTAAAGCCTGTGATAATATGTAATTAACACTTTGTTTCAGCCTAGATGAGTTAACTGATCAGTTTCGATAAATTTTAGCATATCTTTTCGGAATCAGGTAATTGTGAAATCAAGAAACGACGACGTAAGTATTTCTATGGGAGTACTAACAATTTCAAGGACTCTACACTTAGTAAAACTGAATACACAATAAGTATTAATTTATTTAAGGCTTGAAGTTTAAGGGTATTCCAAGTATATGTTGAGTTAAGTGCCTATGGATGATATTAAGTGATTGTGTGATGCTTCTTTTCATGTCATATTAAGTTTTCTCACCAGTATTTCATTAATTTTCGTTTGATTTGCAGTGATATTCAAAGTTTATATAACATTTATCCATCTGTTCTTAACATTGCCTCCTTATTAGGCCTTCCGTAAAGATGATGTAATTGGTTGTTTTCTTGATCTGAGTAACGGAATAATACAATGGTCAAAAAATAATCGCTTATTTGGTCCTGCTTATGAAATTGACAAAAAATTATTAAAAAACAATGAACCAATCTATCCTGCAGCTTCTTTGGTCGATACTACTTTAGAATTAAATTATGGTGACTTACCATTTAAATATCCACCAGAAGTAAGTGATAAGATTTTAATAATGAATTGACCTCAGGCTAATATTTATTAAGAGTTAAAGTGATGAATGGTAAATTTGTTCGGTTGATGTATTGCTACTCAAAAAATTGTTTAGTATGACGGCAATGGATCCCAAACTTATAAACATGAATATTTACGTTGTTAATATTTCATGCGATCTTTATGGCGTTAAATTCATTTGCGAACTTCTATATTTTGTAACAAGTACAATGTTTTGAACACTGATTTGTTGATTTAAAAGACACAACTCGGAGGTTATTATTTCCAGAAAACATCAAAATACAATAAATCAGATATGCGATACTGAATAAATATAAAACATTAATTAGTCAGTTAATTGTATTCTACAAATACTATTACACTAGTACTTTCACATGTTTACATATAAGACTATCTGTTCTTATGATAACTTGTCTACAGTTGTATAATACTGTTCAAATAATTGAGTTTGTTGTCAAACACTAATTTACCATACGATTTTCAGTAAAGAATTTTATTTTATATTCGATTGATGATATAAGAGGTGACAAACGGTCATTAAATAACTTTCTTGGTTAAACTTAAAAAATAATAAAGTCTACTTGTTTCCTTTGATTTTAAACCTGAAGCATACATTCACAATTTTCTATTCAATACATGATAGTCAACTGTTATTGAGTAGATTTGCGAGCTACGATACAGTGGATGTATTTGAGGTTATTTTGAAAAAAAATCTCCAAGTGTTTATATTCTCAAACTTATCAAAAGATTTATATTGACTTATTCTACCTATAATTTGGTAAATCATGAAAACCCTAATAAGGTAATTAATATACAACTATATACTATAATATCCACAAAATCCCTTTTGATATTAATCAACATATGCTCACTAGTGACGGTCTCCAAGAGATATTTCCTGGAGTTCTAGTAAGAAGCTGTGACTAGTGGAGTTCAACCGGTTCTGTTGTGAGATAGTAACTCACTGAAGACAATGATGGATGTGTCGCTCAATTTTGTGGATTAGTTAAAGTTAGACACTAAAACCGTTGGATGCCGGCTGCTCAGTGGTCTAATGGTTAAGCGCTCGCGCGCGAGACTGATAAGTCCTGGGTTCGGATCACGTGAGGCGGGGTCGTGGATGCGCACCGCTGATGAGTCTCATAATAGGACGAAATGGCCATCCAGGGCTTCCAAGTTTCTTATGATGGTCTAGCTTCGAATGATTCATGTCTCAACTATTAAAATTAGTGTATAACTTTTAAATGAACCACTTGTTAATAAGAGTAAACTAATTACTTATATAATTTTTTTTGTAAAAATACTAGGACGATTGGACTCCATTATTTGCAGCTTCAGACGAATATGTATTCGAATCACCAAAATGGCCTAGTTCAGTAAGTGTAGTTAAACCTTTAGTATATTTTTTCAGATTAGCGCTATAATAAACCTATAGTTTTAATAAAGTGTTTGTAAATGATGAGATAATATGACCAGAAATGTGTAAACAAATTGCCTGTGATCTGGGGACTATTACTCGCAAACGCCACAACCTGAAAATCAAATCAATCTGTAGCTAGGTTATATATATATATATATATATATAATTAATAAATTTGAAACATAAATTTATTTTGCTTTGGATGTTAATTAGAAATATATAACCTGCCTTTTTCGAATTATTATCAATGATAGGTTTCAGTGTTCACAACGACTCTGTAAAGGCCATCAAATTATAAATGACAGTTAGCATTGATCAATGTTTTATTCATATATTTAACAATTTTTATATAAGGGACGTATCTAATTTATTGAAACGAACCTTTATTTCATTAAAATGTGAATGAGCTAGTCAATTTTCGTAAATGTATATTTTACAATAAGCTTATCAACTTTTTAATAACTTTAGTTGCAGTTGTCTAAACTTATACTTTTGACATTATATCGTACTCTGAGTTTGATTTGTGCATTCTCAACTGGCGATGTTAAAATCAAAAGTAGGATTCAACGGGCTACAATGAATTGAGTGTGAAGATACTTATATCAAGTAGTTACACTGTATAAGCGATTACATATAAATTATAACAATACATAAATATTAAAAACGCAATTGTATGAACGAAGAATATTCTTTTCAATAATTTCTCATCAGGTTCTACAATTATAAATCCAGATTAATAATCCATAAAATTGGCCAGATTTAAGGCAAAATACATCATCATTTGGAAATGGTAATATGTGAATCAGGAATTGTTTGTTATATAAAAATAAAATCGTTAATGTTGGGGCTGACTAATATGAAGTGTTAACTTGAAACGGTTTATAAGCAAAATGAAATTGTGAGATAAATTATCAGAATAAATATGGTCAACATGGGGTAAGAGAGAGAGAGAGAGAGAATATTGTGATTACAAATCGGAAATTGCGTAATATGTAAAATAATCAGGTCAAATATAGTAGGTTCAGGGGTGGATATTAAATAAATTCCTCAAAAAGGGTTTATCAAGTGTAAAGACAATAATAGTAATAATAATAATAATAATAATAATATAAGTTTGGGACATAAAATGAACATTAATCAGATTATGTCACCACATTATAAGATTGATTATTAGCTAGTTGGCCAGGGTAAAAGGAGAGGCTGAACATACTTCTTTTGGATACAAAGCTCTGGCTTTTTGATCCGAATAGCAATTGCTTCAGCCGTCTGTAGGATTCGCAGTCTGACGGAATTAGGTAGACTGCTGTTGACACGATAGATTATTGCAAAAGATTGCTCCATGTTGGCTGTATGTCCTGTTTGGACTAAATGGTCTAAGATGGAGCTGTTAACAGTTTTGACAACACCTTTGCTTAACCACACGGGTAGGTGCTCACGAGCCCGAATGTACAAATTCCTAGAACATCTGCCGATATAACTTGCTCCACAGGAGCAGTTGAATTGATAGATACAGAAGGAGGTGGCTAGTCTAGGTAATTTATCTTTCAACCTCGGAGTGATTATTGGTCGTGTGGAGAATACTAGTTGTAGTTTGGCTGCGTTGAAAGTCCTTTGAATTGATCTACTTAACTTAAGTCTTAACATTTCACTCGGCGCGTCTCCTCTGAATTGTAAGCGTATATATAGAGGCTTTCTATTTACTGTTGGACATTCTCTACGCTGTCTTTTATTGGCTAAGTTTTTATTTATAAATTTCTCTGGATATCCATTTTCTTTCAGGGTTGTAAACAATCTCTTTGTTTCATCTTCAATCGTATCCACAGTGCATATAGTCTTGATTCTATGATGTAGTGTCTTGATAAGGTTCCTTTTTTGTTGTAGAGGAACGAAACTGAAAAAGTTAGTATATTGACCCGTCCAGGTCATTTTCCTGTTTATGTTTCTTTTTAGCGATCCATCTTTTCTCCTTGTAAGCAGAACATCTAGGAAGGCTATTTTACCCCCATTTTCTTTTTCACATGTGAATTTTATGGACGGGTGAGCTGTATTGAATTGCTCGAGTGTTCTTATCAAGTCCGTACGCTCGTTACAAAGGATAAATGTATCATCCATATATCGACAGTACAATGGAAACTTATCGATCTCTTGTGCCAGTGGGCCGTTTTCTAGTTTAGAAAGGAAAATGTCTGCCAATATGGGACCCAGGGGTGAACCCATCGCGACGCCATCTATTTGTCTGTAGATTTCCCCATTGAATTTGAAATGTACATTCATAGTGCATTTTAGTAATAATTCTTTGATGATCTCTACAGGGATTGTCGTTTCTAGTTCCTGTTCTCTAAGTTGTTCACAAATATATTCTACAGTTTCTCTGAGTGGAACATTTGTGAACAGTGATGCTACGTCAAAAGAAATCATCGTCTGATCTTTCGTGTTTATGTTTTTAATTCTGTCAACGAATTGGAATACGTCCTTAATACTATGTTTTACCAGGCGATTATGGAGTGGTTTCAAAACAGTTACTAGCCACTTTGCTACAGTATGATATGGGGAATCATACATGTCCAAAATTGGCCTTAATGGGATATCCGGTTTATGTATCTTTGGCAGTCCGTATAACCTAGGTAAATGTGTACCTATTGGCTTAATTGTTTCGTATACATCTTTTGCAATCATTTGTTGATCTCTGAGCTTTTTTAAGGTTCGGGTCAGTTCATTCTCTATCTTATTATTGACATCTTTTTGGTTATTCAGTTTCTGAAATTTTTGAAGATCATTCAAGATATTATTCATCTTGTCAATGTAATCTTTTTTGTTAAGTAGGACGGTTCCTGTTCCTTTATCGGGTTTTGTGATGATCAGGTTCTCGTCACTAATGAGATCCATGATAGCCTCCCTGTGTTTCTTAGTTAAAATACTTCTGTAGTTATATCTACTATTCTTAAACTGATAGCAACAGTCAACTAGGTTTGATTTGAAACGTTCAAGTTCCTGGTCAGAGGTCGGGACCAGATCTGATGTCTGACGATTTAGGTTTTCAAATTGGATGTCCGTATCGATTTGATTTACGCGGTTTCGTGTATCACAGAATTTTAGGCCAAGTGCTAATACTTCAAGTTTTTCTTTATTTAATTCAGTACCGGAAAAATTGTGCACATACCTTTTTGGTTCCGTCGGAAATTTATTTTCAACCGGTTGATTTTCAAGGCTTTTGAGAAGTTGAATATGTTTCTTGTTTGAACGTTCCTTAGTTATTTTTGTGACATACTCCATAAACTGGGACTTAAGGTCTTCTGGTAATTCATCAACTGCAAATCTTCTGCGAGCAATGTTTACTTCTATCTCTGTCAAGTCATTATTCAATGTGTCAATTTTATTAAGTGCATAGCGTTTTAATGTTTTTCTATTTGGATTAATATGATTACGGCGTAGTGACTTATAGAACAGTTTCGGATAATGACATGATTCGATACAGTTTTTTATAAATTCCAATGAAGTTTTCGTTTCAGTGAACTTTGCGTTATACTTCAGGAACTCGTTGAGTGCCTTCAACGCAATGGGTTGATCACAAGATTTTAATTGATGAAAAATTCCCATTATATTAAAAACGCAATTGTTGACCATATTTATTCTGATAATTTATCTCACAATTTCATTTTGCTTATAAACCGTTTCAAGTTAACACTTCATATTAGTCAGCCCCAACATTAACGATTTTATTTTTATATAACAAACAATTCCTGATTCACATATTACCATTTCCAAATGATGATGTATTTTGCCTTAAATCTGGCCAATTTTATGGATTATTAATCTGGATTTATAATTGTAGAACCTGATGAGAAATTATGAAAAGAATATTCTTCGTTCATACAATTGCGTTTTTAATACATAAATAGTTAATTAAATAATTATCTAGTTTAATGGTTCATGTTTCCAAATAAAAATTATTTCTTAATCATTGCTTCTCCCATACTCTATTTCGTCACCAAAGAATACGGTCAAACACAACAGTCACTCAAGAAAACATTTAGTTACTCATAATACAAAGACAGAAGTATATACTGAAGATCAGAAAGAAATCAGTCTAAATTCAGTCAGTGACACATATGGTCATTCTACAATAATAAATAATAATCTTGGCAGTGATAACAACAATGTAAAAAGTAGCAGCCCAAGTAAACTAGAAGATATTCCTGTAGAATCAATACGTATAGAATCCCCTTCATCAAGTGATCAACAAGAAGATGAAGTAAGAATGGTATGTTCGATTCAGATTTGAAACATGACTGTTATACTTTAATAGTGGATGCATGTAACGAATCATGAATTTGAAACTTTAATATTTTGATTCGAATCGTTCTTCATTGTTCATGTATTTAAGTATTCATTGTTGATACATAAAAGAATTAAACATATACTCTAAAGAACTTAACTAGTGCGATATAAAAAACACAATAAGTTCACTTGTATGAAAGAAAAAAGCATATTTCCGAATGGATTTAATGTGTTAATCGTCACTGATTCGCACTAAAAATACAATTATCAGTTGCTATCCCTAGAATTTGATATCTGACTAAAAATACTACGCTTTATATATATATATATATATATATATATATATATATATATATATATATATATATATTTTAAAGAAACTAGAATTATGATGAAAGTATGGTTATATTGTGTATATTGATTGGTTCAACAACAAGATAATTTATCTAACGAAAATGATATGATCACGCAATAGGATGAATCAAAACCGGTCGTAGAAAATTTCCTATCTTACTGATCAACCACGTAAAATGTTGATTTGTATTTTTGCAGCTTTTTAACAGAACGAATCTTATTTCCAGAAAATAATCTACTTGAATGTTATTTACCATTATGTTAATAATGAGCAATTTTCTGTGTGCCCTTGAGTGCAATAGTTAAAGTTATTTATATTCATTTTATAAATAAATAATGGTTTATCTCGTATTTTTTCGATTACCTAACCCGACGAAATGGTCTTTATCAAAAGTCATAGTAAATAATTAAAGAAATAATACCTAAATCTCTTGTTGTTAAACGTTGGAGAATCGATATAGAAGAAATTATAGACCACACAATTCAAACTAGTTAACATTCAATAATCTTTTCTTCTAGACTAAGGTTAGATAATTTTAGTTGCACGCCACATAGCTCTAAACCTGTTTCTTAAATCATAGCCGTTAAAACAACCAAATAATCATGAAGAAACTGATTTTCTTCTTTGAGATTTCAAATGTGTTTATCGATGACAGTAAGTGTGAATTTCGAGGCAATAGATAGCATATTTTGACGATAGACTATCGTAAGCGAAATATAGGGCATTAAAGATTGGGTTAGTTAACCGAATAGTTACATTTTAGAACGTTATCATATTGTTTTAGATTTCCTAAAATACTACAATATGTACCTAATCACTATGTAGTAACTTTTTCTTGAAGAAACTTGATCACTCCTTAAAATTGTATTTTTTTAAAAGTCAGATCCGAAATAAGTGACAAAGCTTCACAAATATTTTTATTAAAAGTTACTTGTGAATCAGATTCAACGATAATTGCAGAAGAGCTGGCTTCTAGAAGTTAAAATCAATTGATGGAAGCTTTATTAAGTATTGATATTATCTAAAGAACCAGTGGGAAACTTTGCTTTGCTCTCGATATTACGGCCTTTGTTCAGAAGGAAAGTCACGAGTGAGGGAAGATACTCGTTGCTGATAATAGGCGACGATCAAAGTGTAGTAAGCATTTATTGAAAATAGAAGTACTGACCATCAAGTTCCAACGCATCTGATGTATAAAGATGTGGTCACTGCTACAACTGAATTATGTCCTGGATAGTCCTGTGAGTGAGTAGTTTCAAAGAGTCTAAATTTACTACAGATACCTTCCCATTTATTTAACGACCTTGTATATGATACAATCGGTAATTAAATATCGAACGTTAATAGAAGTAGATGACTACGGTATACATCCTCTAAAAAATACATGAGTTTAAGATATTAGCAGCAAATACATGACACATTGCTGTAAAACGATGTTAATAAATTGTATTATTGTCTTCTTTTGTTCATATTTTCTAGTTCCTGGAAACTTGTGAACCAATTACTGAAAGTCATTTTGATGCCTTATATAACACTTATACAAATCATCCGTCTACGGAGCGATCTGAATCACAAGTAAAACAGTAGAACTATTTATAACATTTAATTGTCCATTATTAATTAAAAAGTATTTTTCTAGTTTTCCATTCCATGATAATATCTATTGAAATAAAGATACATTATGTCATTTATACTGTTATCAGCAACAGAATAAATTGAACATAGGCAATACTGGATACCACTTCCCTCTGATTTAAAATCGCTCTAATTTCCGTAGCGCAAAAATCTTATTTTCATTTGATTTTTGATGTTTTCGAAACTGTGAGATCTGTTAAAAAGATAGTACCAAAATAACCTAGATCTGTCTAAGGAATATCATACACTTTCCTCCTGTACTTGAAGCAATTCTATTATTATGTCCCTCTTAAATTTATTGAGAAATCACTCATTAAATGCTGGCTAATGACAACCATTAAATATTCTATTCAAGATAATTTAGCATGACATCAAGTAAAGACATTTGTTTCATTAAACTAGCTATAAATAAATGGAATTCGAAGCTCATCTTTAATTGATCTTTTTTTTCTCTTCATACTTAATCTAAAGCCATTAAAGTGTATTTCATTCGATTTATACATTTAAGCTATAATATGTCGTCTAGCATTAGTCAGCCTATGTAAATAGAAATAATTTACATCAACAATACGTCAAAGCAAACTATACTGATTAAATTACGCATTAAGAAAGTATATGCATGTTTTGTTTAAATTACGAGGAATTTTCATTCCAAGCCAAAATATTTATTAGGTTTGGTTTTCTGTGAAATCGATCATGTCAACTAGCATACGACAAATCAGCACTTGGCAGTTAACTAACTAAGGATGAAGACAATTTGAAGGAAAACTTGAAGCACGATTATAATTTATGAACGAACCAATAAGATTTAACATGATGGCTGTTGGATTTTTGAGCGAAATTCATTTGATACTATAACTGATGCCGCTTTGTGATGATAACCTTAGTTATAATTTGCAAATCTAAATCTTAATTCCTCACACTAATGTTTAATTGTATTTTGACCCTAGTAATTGGTTAAATGTTTTATAATTCACTTCACCATTAATCTAAGATCGTCCATTAACTATAATCTTAGCAAACTGATACAATTGTAAATATATATAGTGATAAAAACGTGACCTTCAAGCATACAGAAATTTAAATAAATAAAAGCAATTACAACTACTCAGAAAAATACAAAGATCATGTGGAAAATAGAACTGGAAAAAATTGATTACGATTATTGTTTCCTGTCAACATCGTTTTTACAATAGCCTCATCAGCTACGAGTTTTGTAATATGCCTATTACTATCATAAATAAGATCCATCCTTATTGATTCAGTTTAGGATAAAAGTTCAGAAATGAATAAAATGATTTTCCACAATAGCTCAGACTTAGTTCATATAAGAAAAGAGTAAAGCTGAAATTTAAATATTTGAGCACGCTTACAAGAAATATGCTCAGGTAATAAGAGTTAGGTTATTATTGATTAGGAATCGTGAAAAATAATATAGTACTCATAATACGAGTGATAATGATGGTAGTCTCAATAATAATTATTATTATACGTACTATTGCTGCGTAAGAAAATAACTAAGTCTTCTAATAAAAAATGACTATACAAAAACATTCAAACTTAAGAGTTTACTTGATTATTCACTTGAAATTTACATCTTATCATCGATATCTTTTTTCTCTAAAATTTTAGATGAAAACAAAACCCAATGGAACATATCACCGTAATCCTATATCAAATTTTCACGCTGATATTGTAAGTGGGATTATTTTACTTCTGTGGAATACACCCATTTTGGCAATAATTGGGACATAAAATGAGATTCTGAAAACGTTCTGATTTGTATTTTTAAGTCAGATAATGATTCAGTAGATTCAAGTCATATATTCATTGTACAACATTTTCTAACAAATCTGAAATGTGTGAAAACAATTTTATCATAAAGAGATGAATAAATGGCAACATGTTTATTTACTCATAAACTCTTCAGTAAAACTTTTTATTAGTAATCCCGTCATAATTTTGTGTTGTCTCTATACAAGTCATACTACTTTAAATCAGCAAGTAGTACAAATAGTTTTATGAATTTAATATTATCAGTATGGGGATTGTGTAGATTGTCGTATTTTCACAGTTTGAATTACGATTTGATCTAAGCCAAACCATTGTTGAAAACCTGAAAGCACTGGACAGCCGTTATATCTTAGTGTAGAATTCCTTATCAGTGAGCACCCACAATTCTGGACGCATGACTCGAACCCGGGATTTTCGGTCCCGCACGTGAACGCTTAACCTCTAGATCACTGAGCCGGCATTCAACGGCGTTGGAACCCAACCCGTGTCAGGTATGTGATAGTTATTTACCTCAAGCAATGGGTAAAGGGTTAGGCAAGATCATGGATCGATTGAAGTTAGATATTAACACCATTGGATCCCTGCTCAGTAGTCTGAGGTTAGGCGTTCACATGCGAGACCGAAAATCCTGGGTTCGAGTCCATTGTGCAGGATCGCGAGCAGGCACTACTGAGGAGTCTCATACTGTGGCGAAACTGACATCCGGTGCTTCCAGTTTTTGAATAGTGGTCTAGCTTAGATCGACTCGTGATTTCAACTCTGAAAACTTAATACTACTCATGGATGCGTCAGTTGATCTATAGAATATACTGATTTTCGGACAAATTTAAATTTCATATACACTTTTTTGAATAAATGTTCATGATATTTTTATTTTGAAAACTGATCACTCATGCATTATTTAAAATACTCGAACAATTATTAAGGGCGATTTCTTGACTGACACTAGGTGGTCATTAAGATGATAACCACTCTCTTTTCCATCTTCACACTTGATGAGGTTGAAGTTTAGTAAGTGTATATATCTTGTCATAGAGGCACTATCACTCTTTAGCCACACAATTTATCCAATGAAAATTATTTAATTGATACAGTAATACTTAGAAGAACAAGTTGAATTATGTTTCATTAACAACAGGCTGTTTCCAAGTATAAACCTATTCTGAAAATTTTGCTTGTTATTTGGGTTACAGATTTGCCAAAAATGTAATCACTGAAAGATAATTTTAAAAAAATAGTAAGTATCAAATCGTCAGTAACCAAATTATTACAGTGACCAGTCTCTGAGTGTGCAACTTGAATTTTACTAGTATCGCACACATTTTCCTCACTTGTTGTGTTTAGATAGTTTCTTTTGGAAGATCAGATTTTGAAACTAGAATTTTAGTGCGTGTTGGTTCATACTATTCTACAATTCTTAATTTGACATGAAGTTACTCACTGATGCAATCTATCTCTTTCATGAACGATGCTAAGGTTGACTACAATATAGTAGGTAACCATTATAATCATTACTGAAAATATATTCATATTAATCAACTTTTAAGAATTTAGATATTTTCCTTGGTTTCCTCTTCCTAATTATTTTTTGGCAAAAACAGATTACTCCTACATGCGTCGATTCTGAATTCCATCAAAGTTCTATAACGTTGATAGACTCTGATCTTGTAAGTATCATAGCTCATCGAATATGTGCTACCTGATAATCTAACAAAATCATAATCACGGTTATTACACTTAAAAATACAAATAGCTCTAACTTATTGCCTAACACACTAATTTGCAGCTTACTTGATTTACACAAAATTAATGAAATGACAGTTGTTTTCATGTATTATTTTTATTTATAAAATATATCATTGAATGAAATGTATTTAATTTAGACTGAATAACAAATATGATTTTGTAATCTTATTGACTTAATTCAATATTTACAAGCAATTAGTTATAACAACATTGAGATATACATTTGACTTCTAAATACCTAAAATAAGTACAGAAAAACAAGTGAATTTTGTAATAATATGTATCTGACAATAAACAGAACTAATAATCATCTTATTCATAGGTAAGACATGAAAACGTTTAGACTGCACAATTGAGAAACTAACTTACCCCTCTTTATGACTTTTAAGGTTTCATGATTTCCGCTCATTTATAGTTTATAATATCTTGTTGTCCTATGCTGAAAAAAAGCTTGTTCATTGTATATCAAAGTAATATAAGATAGATTTTAAGTTGATACCCTATTGCTTCTTATTTGAAATGAATTATAAAAGAGTATTCAGCACCTTAGTAATTACAAATACTTGAGGATAAACTTGATCAACGTGAAATCTTCAAAACCATGAAATTATTAGATTGATACTGATTCCTACAATCAATAATTATTCCTAAGCATATACTCATTCTGAATATATAGAAATATTCACTAAAGTGTTAGTTCTAATTTAATTAGTTTATACACATTTAAATTACATCTTGTGTAAATAAAAATTAATCAAGAGTACTTCGGTTTCCCGTCAAGAATTATTATCATTACTTACTTACTTACTTACGCCTGTTACTCCCAATGGAGCATAGGCCGCTGACCAGCATTCTCCAACCCACTCTGTCCTGGGCCTTCTTTTCTAGTTCCATCCAATTCTTGTTCATTTTTCTCATGTCTATCTCCATTTCTCGGCGTAATGTGTTCTTTGGTCTTCCTCTTTTCCTTTGGCCTTCAGGATTCCATGTGAGGGCTTGTCTTGTGACGCAGTTGGGTGCTTTCCTCAATGTGTGTCCTATCCACTTCCAGCGCTTCTTCCTGATTTCTTCCTCCGCTGGGATCTGGTTTGTTCTCTCCCACAGTACGTTGTTGCTAATAGTGTCCGGCCAACGGATCTGAAGTATTTTGCGTAGACAACTGTTAATAAACACCTGTATTTTCTGGATGATGGCTTTCGTAGTTCTCCAGGTTTCTGCCCCATACAGTAGAACTGTCTTGACATTTGTATTGAAAATCCTGACCTTGGTGTTGGTTGACAGTTGCTTTGAGTTCCAGATGTTCCTCAGTTGTAAATATGCTGCTCTTGCTTTGCCGATCCGCGCCTTCACATCTGCATCAGATCCACCCTGTTCATCAATGATGCTGCCCAAATACGTAAAGGTTTTTACATCTTCCAAATCTTCTCCGTCAATTGTGATTGGATTGGTGCATTCTGTGTTGTATCGGAGAATCCTGCTTTTCCCTTTGTGTATATTGAGACCTACTGCTGCTGAGGCTGCTGCCACACTGTTCGTCTTCTCCTGCATCTGTTGTTGCGTTTGGGATAGAAGGGCCAGATCATCTGCGAAGTCTAGATCGTCCAACTGCATCCTAGATGTCCATTGTATCCCGTGCTTCCCTTCAGACGTTGACGTCTTCATGATCCAGTCGATCACCAGGAGAAAGAGAAAGGGTGAGAGTAAGCAACCTTGCCTGACACCGGTCTTTACTTCGAACGACTTTGTCAACTGTCCTCCATGCACGATTTTGCAGTGTAATCCATCATATGAATTCTGTATGATATTGACTATCTTCTGAGGCACGCCGTAGTGTCGAAGAAGTTTCCATAGTGTTGTTCTGTCCACGCTATCAAATGCCTTTTCGTAGTCATGAATTCCATTCAATTGATTGTTCCACAATGATCCGTAGAGTTGCGATTTGGTCTGTACACGATCTATCCTTACGGAATCCTGCCTGTTGGTCACGAAGTTGGGCGTCTACGCAGTCCTTCATCCTGTTTAACAATACCCTGTTGAAGACTTTTCCCGGTATTGAGAGAAGAGTGATGCCCCTGTAGTTATCACAGTTGCTGAGATCGCCTTTCTTCGGTATTTTGATCAGAAGTCCTTCTTTCCAGTCTTTTGGTACTTGTTCCTCATCCCAAATCTTATTGAAGAGAATGTGGAGTATCCTTGCAGTTGCCGCTACGTCTGCTTTTAGTGCCTCTGCTGGATGTTGTCCGGTCCTGCTGCTTTGCCACTCTTGATTTGTCTGATGGCCATGCTGATTTCTTCAATTGTTGGTGGGCCAACATTGATTGGGAGGTCCGTGGGTGCTGCTTCGATGTTGGGTGGGTTCAGTGGAGCTGGTCGATTCAAGAGTTCTTTGAAGTGTTCTACCCACCTGTTTTGTTGCTCTTCAATGTTGGTGATTACCTTGCCTTCCTTGCTTTTCACTGGTCGTTCTGGTTTGCGGCGATTTCCAGAGAGTTTCTTTGTCGTGTCATACAGTTGTCTCATGTTTCCTTCTCTTGCAGCCTTTTCCGCCGTCGTTGCTAAATCTTCCACATATTTACGTTTGTCGGTTCTGATGCTCCTCTTCACTTGTTTGTTTACTTCTGTGTATTCAGCTTGTGCCTTGGCTTTTTCTGCTCTTGTTCGACTGGTATTGATTGCTGCCTTCTTGTTCCTTCTTTCTTGAATCTTATCCAGTGTATCAACAGTGATCCATTCCTTGTGATGGTGCTTCTTGTGACCCAGGACCTCATGACATGTTGAAGTGATTGCCTCTTTGATCCCCTTCCAGTTGCTCTCCACAGTAGTTCCTTCTCCATTGAGTAGATCATGAAAGGCCTGGAACTTGTTGCTGAGGACTATCTTGAATTTGTTGAGTTTGTTAGTATCCTGAAGAAAGGCCGTATTGAACTTTTGTGATATTGTCCGCCCCGTTGTCCAGTGCTTCTTGAGTTTCAATTTCATCTTGGCGACCAGCAAGTGATGATCTGATGCTATATCAGCTCCTCTCTTGGTTCTCACGTCCTCTATAGTCCTCCTGAACGTTTTGTTGATGCAAATATGGTCGATTTGGTTTTGTGTAGTGTGATCCGGTGAAGTCCATGTGGTTTTGTGTATGCGTTTATGTGGGAATATGGTGCCGCCTATGACCAGCTTATTGAAGGCACATAGATTTGCAAATCTCTCACCATTTTCGTTTCTTTCTCCCAGTCCGTGTCGTCCCATGATGTCTTCATATCCAGTGTTGTCCGTTCCAACCTTGGCGTTGAAATCTCCCATCAGAATGGTCAGGTCCTTTGTTGGGCACTTCTCGACGATTGACTGCAGCCTATTGTAGAATTGATCTTTAGCGTCTTCATTGTAGTCGTTGGTAGGCGCATAGCATTGGATGATGTTCATTGAAATGCCCTCTTTCTTTGTTTTGAACGAGGCTTTGATGATCCTTGGTCCATGAGATTCCCATCCTATAAGCGCATTTTGCGCTTGTTTGGACAGCATCAATGCAACTCCTTGTGTATGTGGTGCATTTTCTTCTTCATGGCCGGAGTATAACAGGAGCTCTCCTGTAGTTAGTCGTTGTTGTCCAACTTGTGTCCAATGTGTTTCACTGATCCCAAGTACCTCTAGGTTGTATCTTCTCATTTCTGCAGCAATTTGGAAGGCTCTCCCGGTGTCCCACATTGTACGAACATTCCATGTACCTAAATAAATGGTCGCTCTGGTTGTCAGAAGGGGCATCGGCCTCGTAACTTCCGAAGGAATTCGGCTTTCATCATGAGGCGTCATAATTCTTCTAAATGAAGACCTTCTGACTCCCAGGGCAGAGTTTAAAAGGTTTGAATAATTTTTTCTGGTTAGCGTTTTTTTAGCGAGTTAGTTTTCTACGGGATGGGGACGCTAACCCCATGCCCAACCCTCCTCCTTTATCCGGGCTTGGGACCGGCAGTAGCCCCCGGAGGGACTCCAGGCGGAGTTAATTATTATCATTACTTTTTAATAAATGTAGATTGATTCTTTTATGCTTTATTATGTAATTCTTTAATTTTTAGTTTAGGACTACTAGTATAGGGGTTGTGGAGATTATTAAATTTTTGATTGAGATCATGAACCGATTGATGTTAGACTACCCGACATGGATTAGCTCCACTGATTTCTTCAACCCTTTGGATATTTTTTAAAGTAATAATATATTGTTTGACTCTCATTTATATCAAATACTTTCAAACTATTGATTCAGTATTCAACCTCTTATGTATGAGACACATTGGGTGGGACTAGAATTTATCGACGAACTAATCAGGTATAAGATCATAGATCTCGGATTTTGTCGTGAAATTCACTCATCCATTTGCTTAAATAGAGTTTTGGCACTATAGCTTATGTCAGTTCGCTATGAAAACTCTAAATCTAATTCTTAACCTTAGCTATCAAATGTAAATCTTGATCGTAATTCTTCACGCTGGTTTGTAATCCTTATTTGGTCCTAGTTATTAGATGGGCACTCTTAAGGTCAGTCTATCGTCACGCAACGGTCGTCCATAAATTATAGTGTCACTATACATTATTTTTAATTTACCTAATTACATAACCAGTTGAAGTTAAATTCTTATAATCTAAGTGTAGTATGAGTTGTATTACCCTTATTTTACTAGTTTGCTATAATGTCTAAATTTACGTATATTTAACATGAGAATTTTAATAAATGAACTACCTTTGTTGATTTAATTCTATGTTGACAAAATTAGTAAAACTCATTAGACTAAAATATTTATTTCAGTCTATTGACTTAATTCTAATGCAACAAATTTTTTTTAAAGAAACGTGATTAAGCAAAGCTATAGATCTCTTCACTCTGACCACTAAAGTGAGAAAAGAAAGGCTTCAGTTATTCATTGAGTATAACATGAATCAGTTACATCGTCACTTAATGTTATTATAAAGACTAGACTGTGATTGACTATAGTCATTATATATATATATATATATATATATATATATATATATATATATATATATATATATATATATATATATATATATATATATATATATATATAGCGGACACAATTTTACCACGAATTCAAAAGAAATGCTTGTAATTCAGGATATTTTGATAAAGATTTCTCTCATTTTTTGTCAATATTTCATGGAACTTACGATTAAAATATCATGAATTATCAAAATAAATATGTTGTCATGATATTTTTGGACCAAAATTTGAACGAAAGAAACAGGCAATGAGATCTAAATCTTTCAAAATTACTTCACACTACTATTTTATCGTAGAGTACTATTTTTAGCAAACTAATTCACTAGAAGTATAACTGTACATTTTAAGTAAATGGAGTTATCGTAAAGAAAATCGAATACGGTTCCTTTCACTAATTTCAAAATATGAGATGTAGTTAACCCCAGAATGAAATAGTCAGTTGACCCTTCCTAACTCCAATCTATCTTATTCAGTTAATTTTTTATGAATCAGGTATCTCTTTATCTAAGCAAACGGTTAATCATTATGAACCTTAAATATTTTTTGTATTTATCATGAAAGGCATATTAAAATTTTGTTCGTATAGCTTTAGTGAAATTTAACTTATATTCTTTTAATTAAATGATTTTAGATTATGCAATCTAATTCAGATTTACATCGTTTCAGTATAACATGTATTCAGAGTGTTGTTTTAATTTATTTGTCAATTAATGTATCTCGAAATTTAACACCTCTAATTCATCCAATAAAATATCACATTTTATTATTATTATTATTAGTTTTCCATTTCTCGAAAGCATTTAAACTAACGGCTTCTCATTTCACACTTCAATACTAACATGATTATCATCAATATTCATATACATTCAGGCGATATGTCTGAACTAGAAAGAAACTTGCATATTTTACTCTACTACTACTAGCCAAAAGTTAAAAATTATTGCATTTTAATTTAAATTGCACTGATTTGAACTATCTTATTGCATGTTAAACCTGCTAATGAGTCACGAATAGGATGGATAACGCGTACTAAATTTCACATTCCTTCTATTCTACATAAATTAACGCATTTGCTTTTTGTCAGATATATATATATGTCGTTTTCTTTTTTTTTATACAGGCACTAGAGCAAGCCATTCTACAGACTACACATTTAAATCCACATACGGCAGTCCTAACGAACACATTGGATTCATATACAAATAATAATAAAAGTAATCATAAATAATGATCTTATTGAGTTGAGTAACAAATCAATGTCAAGAATCACTTCCATCAATCCAATGATAAATCATCTTAACTAGAATAAAAAAGGACTTTTTTATATCGAAATATTAAAAAAAAATTAAAAAAATAAAAAAAAAACAATAACAATCAACGATAACAACTATTTATATTTTTTTTAAATTAAAATTACAATACTACTTATTTTAGTTTATTGAAGAAAAAAAATTCAATTATGAAATATTCACATTAAATGCCTTAGTAAATATAAATTTTCATGTTTATATAACTAGACTAATTCTTTATTTTTTAATTTGTTTTATTACTCTTTATAATAATGATAACATAAATAGAGATATTAGAAGACAACAACATCATCAACAACAACAACAACAACGAATAGATCATTTCCAATGTATATCTTTTGATTTCCCTTAAATTCTAACTGCTGATATTTATGAAATGAATAAAGATCATTTCTATTCTCATTTCTATGAACATATTTAAATTTCTTATGAATAATGATTAATTCATTGTTATTTTGTCAATGACATTTATTCCTTGATCATGATCTTGTTGAATGTTTAAAAAACAACAAGATTATTTTTCGTTGAAACCAAGTTGGGTTTTTTTTTTAAAAAAAATACTTTTATGATCGATTAATACATATACCTAGTTGAACTATAAATTTCAATATTAGAAAAAAACAACATTTCGTATAGACTTTTCTTAAATATTAAAGATTATAGCGAATAATTAGCATAGAATAATGGCGCCTGCTTTAGAAATATAAACTACAAACACTGAGTTAAATATCAACGAAATCTTACTTGAAAAACTTTTTTTTGTTTCGTGTATTTAGTTTTTATACTGTAAGCAAGTGAACATTGTTTATAAGAAAAGATTCGAACTGATAAATATATACATATATCGTTAAGTGTATCATCCTGAAAGAAGTTTTATCAATCATCAAAGAAAAAGTTCATCAATATCATCACCACTAATTATCTCAAATGGTTTATATATACATATAAGTTCAGTATATTCTTGTTTTCTGTTCCCTTTTAAATATTCTGATTTACTTAGCTTCATTAATATTTCTATTACTACAAGTTCATCGTTTGTATCATTTAAAATATCCACTTATATTATTAATTTTTTTGTTTCTATGCAAACATTTTATGTAAATGAACTGTAATCAAATCTTTTGGAAAAAAAAAAGAAAAAACAAATGAATATGACACCTTTCTTTTTTTTTCTATTTCTCCAATGTTAGTTTCATTCATCCATTTATTTGTTGATCAATTTCTTTTGGGTTTCTTTAATTTTATATTTTATAAATGTTTGTTCCAAATTGTTTTTTTTATTTTTATTTTTTAGATAAATAAAAATATATATACATCAGTGATAATATTCATAATAAAAAGATCATAGTAACAATATAACAATTGATTTATTAGTTATAATATAAACTATATTTCAGTCAGTCAGTAACAACGTAGAACTTCGTACGTACGTACGTACGTACATCAGTTCGAGTTGCCACACCACATTAGCACAGAGATGCAGTTGTCGATTCACATCCCACAGTGGTCGAGGTGGTAAGAGTATAAGCAGTAATCGGAAAGATTAAGTTTGAAAATGTTATTTAAAGAGTATAATCTAGTGAAATAAATTTGGAAAGAGAAAAAAGAGACAAAGAGGATTCAGGAGATTAGAATTTGAGAGAACACAAAGAGTAGATGCACCTGAGCCATTGCAAACGATTTTGAGCCATGTCATTCAGGGTCTCTAACCATTGGTTGTTTCACTATATAAGTGTTATTTGAATTATTGAATATTATTATCATTTTTAAAGATAATAACATTATTTCGATATGTGTCTTTCTATTTCTTATTTTCATTGTTTAATTGTAGATTTTTATTTCAGAAAAGTAGGTCAAATAGTGTATCTTAGTAGTTTCTTTAAAAAGCTTCTTTATATGTTTATGTTTCTCTTTAATGAATAAGTCAAAGAAGCAGAGAATTTTTTAACGTAACAGATTCAAGAGGTCAGTTATGTGATAGAAAAACTTCTGACTTATGAATATATGATTCATTCATAACTTTGAACTCCAATTCTGTTTACTCTGAGTTACTTCAGCCTACGTAAGTGAATCAACGAGAAGATATTAGGTTAAGAATCATTACTCAGCATCATATGTACCATGATTAATTTATTGCTTAATTTGGTATTGGATAGTTTAATGTCATCTAAATTCCTAGAGCTCGCTTCATGAATCATACCTATCATCTTCATCAATCTCATATATAGTTGTCTTCTGTACTCTTTCAAGTAAATCTGAGTATTCTCTTAAATAAGGATTTGTGTCCTGAGCACAATAATCTCATTTAAATTTCACTAGGACTATATGTTATGAATGTATTTTTAAATCTACATTTGTGAAAGTCCCTCACAATGTTTATACTGTTCTAAAACCCTTTAACCGCGTATGAAGGTCAGCGAGAAGTGATCTTCAATTCATGCTATACTATGGCTTCTAAGTCATTGTAGATGAGATCTGAGGTCAGAGATATTTATCTAATTCTGTAGTTCCTGCTGTCTACATGCCTAGTATGCACAGATTTAGTTGCATTGGTAGGTGCTAACTATAACAAAGTTCAACTAGTTAAGATGTCGAGGTTAGGTTGAAAACTTCTTGTCCTGTAATCGCTTGATACTCCTCTTCGTATTTCAAAGTCGTCCATGTTGAGAATCATTTAGAAATTGATAAGACAATATTTCAATAGTTTAAGAGATAAATAATAGTAGACATAGTATCATGACTTGCAGCACTTCATTAAGCGGTAGATTCTAAGAAAAAACCAAGGGTTATCACGCGCTCTATGTTAATCACTAAGAAAGAACTGAATAACCTACCAAAGCAAATCTCTTGGTATTCTTGTATTTTACAGCTTCAAATGGAATTCATATTGTGAAATCCTGTTGAACGCGTTGTTGTAGTTAGTGAGTACCAGAATAATTGTTTGCTTGTCTTATGACTACATGAAATGAAGTTTTGAGACGATCGGGATGATTCGCCTAATACTATTAACTAAAGTCTCTGAAGCTATGTTTCTTTGTGTAAATGATCTTCAGCTGCTAATATCGTCTTGATAATATTATCTTTTTTGTGTTGCAGTGATCCTTACAGCCCTGTGGTTAAGCAGGATTATTGAGTAACACTTTTAAAACTATTCTATAATGAAAAGCTATATTCACTGAAAGTTCTAGCTTCATTTTAAAGAGCAAAAGCAATCCGACGTCGTTGATGAATAACTACCTGACTGTTGACACAAATAAAATCCATTTTTCAAGAATTTGGGGTACCGTACAGAAATAACTAGCATCTAATTCTCATCATTTCCAATGAGAACGCCGAACGGTATTGATTCAAGAATGGAACCATCTGTATTGTTAGGTTTACGAGGACTATGTAATTTCAATCGCACAGTAACGACGTAACGAAATTTTAATATAATATTTATACTACTTATGAGTAGTTAAACAAGAAAAATAACAATACAAATGTTTTTTCGTTCATAAGCGAAGCTTATTTATTGTGGTTGAACATTAAAAAAAAAAGATCCTTTACGATGAACTCAAGCTTAACATTTAAAAATGGGTTTGTCTGAATAACACCCAGTTACCATATAGATAATTCATGCACTTCAATTTATCACAGAAGTTATCATAATTTAATTCAAGGTTTTAGAATAAATGAAATATGTTTACTATGAAATATTTTGATTTTAAACTACAATTTTTGTATTTTACCTAAACAAGTAGATTTGATCATGTAATACTTTGTAAAAAAAGTGTAAATCATTGTAGATTATAAAGATACTAAGATTCATATATGATTAATATTTGAACTAGAATATCAACGATATATTCATAGACATCTACATGACATTTCAATAGTTGATGTTTTGTTATCATATTGAAACAATCATATTTTCAAATATACAATAAAACACAGGATTAAGTTTGAAAATTACAATACACTATACTTGATAATAAGTTGTTTTTCTGTCAGTCGGTATCCTTAAACTTTTAGTTTGAATTTCAAGGTTGGTTAGCTTTAATCAGTTATATGTTTTACTAACAGAAATACAAATTTTAAACATCAATTATTTCCATCAAATAAACTAATTTAAAGGAAAAATATAGAATTCACTCTTTAATAAATAAAGTTGACATTATATATCAATAGACATAGATATAGAAAATTAGGTTTATTAACTTCTTTTTGACAATTCAACAAATTATAGACATATTTATCTGTAGATATATAAAAGTACAGTGGTCTTGAGTGTTGTTAGATGTATGAGGGCGATTATCACTTCCCCGCTGCCCACACCGTGGAAGGGTTCTTCTGAGATACCCGAAAAGAAAATTGGACTAGAGGTGGTCTTAGTGATTTGAGAGCGTGACCGCATTGCCCAATGGACAACTGCTTGAGGTCGGTCACACACGACCTTTCCGTGGGTAATTTTTTTGTTAGCTCCGTACTTGTTGAGACCTTACAGCCGGAGACGGATATTCGTGAGATAAGGTGAGGTGTGCACTTTTAGGGTCGACCTTTTCTAACCCCACCCCTCCTTGTGGGAAGGCAGCATCGCTGTCATGCTGGTTGTCTGAAGGAAACACCTTACTGCTGTCACACTTCTATACATTCAGCAGTACGACTTCGCCTTCGGACCCTGGGTTTGTTGCTTTTAGTCTTATCGCTCTTCAACCGACCTGTCTGACATGGTAGGACGTTGAGGAACGGTTGTTCCAGCCAGTATAGCTTGGTTGCTTCACGATAGGCAAGCCCGACCACCACGTCAAGGTAGCAACAACGGTCAAGATGAAGTCAGCGTGACTGTCGCAACCAATGGTTGGAGACTCTGGTTGACATGGCTCAGAATCGATCACAATGGCGTCGATGTATACACTCTCTGTCTTCCCTTAAACTGTGAGATTAAAATCACTTCATATCTTTCTTTCTACGAACTAATTCTTTCTTGTTGTACTATGTCCTTATATACAATCTTTCTTTTATATATTACCACCTATGAATTAAGTACTTTTATGAATCCGATGTCCATCTTGTTGTGCTAATGAGGTATGGCAACTTGAAGCGATGCATATATGTGCCTGGTCCTACGTTGTAGCTGACTGACTGACTGACATAAAAGTACATGGACTTGTTGTTTAGTGATTGTTTTATTGAAGATCTATTTAATTACATGTGCTTAAAAACCAGTTATATATATATACTGATATTACAACGGATATTAAAACAAACGTAAGTCCTATAAACATAAATAATGTATTCGTAAATATTTAAAAATTTCGTATATTCATACCGCTTTAAATATTAAATTGTATTATTTCAAGTTTTTCAATCTAAAAAGTTTTTATTATTTTGTTTTAAAAATGTTTATCTAATGACATTTTTAAACTTACCCTTATATAATTTTATTCAACATGTGATTATATATAATTGATCACATTAGTAATAAGTACTATATATATATATATATATATATATATATATATATATATATATATATATATATATATATATATAATTGTTTACTCAATGAAATATTATTATTATTGCGTTTAAATTTCATGTTATATATTTTATATGAAATATTTATTTACAGCTGTTACTTTCAGTGGAGTATAGGCAGCCGATCAGTATACTCCAACTCACTCTGTCCTGAACCTTCTTTTCTATTTCTATACAATTGTTGTTCATTCTTCTCATATCTGTTTCCATTTCTCAGCGTTATGTATTCTTTGGTCTTCCTCTTCTCCTTTGACTTTGAAGATGCCAAGTAAGAGCTTGCCTTGTGACGTAGTTGGGTACTTTCCTCAATACACATTATATTATTAATGTTCAATTATGAGTTGATTTCATATTATGAATTTGATTTAATGGTTTGTTTATTTCATAAGATTTTTTGGGTTTTTTTTTATTAAGCTAAGCAACAAATTTATTGCATAGTTAGGAATTTTATTAATAATAAATTCGTAAAATTTGATAGTACGTATTTATTTTCACTTTCTTTTTCAAATTAAATAACATAAAACTGTTATATAATCAAGGATGGATAGTGGCTAGCATTGGAATAAAGAACGCGTGTTTCGTCCCCTTTAGGACTCGTCAGCTGGATGTACATGCACCGCATAGTTGATGTTCACTCCGGGACTCGGACCCAGTACCGTTCGCTTCAAATGTCATCGCGTTATCCACTTAGCTACTGAGTCATGATAGCAACTTGTTTGTGCAATGAGGTGAAGTTATATTCACTTGATATTGATCACTTGTATCGTCTTACTGTTATTTAGGACTGCAAATGATCAGTCTC